ATAAGACTTGAGAAGATCCACATAAGTTCTGTTGAATCGCATGTATTCAATTTTTTGTACAAGTAGTTGAAGGTCAATTTTGTAAAACGCTTTTGTGAAATCAGTATATATGACATCCACTTGCCCCCTATTGTCTACAGTTTCGTATAGATATTGACTGAACGTGGCTAAATTCGTAATAGTGGAACTCTGCTTCATAAAGCCATACTGATGGACTGACAGATGGTATTTAGTTGCCGAAATTCTGGAATACAATATTATTTCAAAGAGCTTTGCAAAATTATTCAGTATAGTGATCGCCCTGTAATTATTTACTAAGGTTCTGTTTTGCGACTTGAAAATTGGGCAGACTTTGGCAACCTTCCACTTATCAGGAAAAACCGATGAACGTAGAATTGAATTAAAAATTTTCAACAAAGGAGCTGAGAACTGCTTTACACAGTCTTTAATGAAAAACGATGGAAGTTGATCTGGCCCTGATGTAAATTTGTTTTTGAGTTTCTCTGCAGCATCTAACATCTCTTTTTCACTTATTGACTCGCATGTTATATTATTAAGAATATCACTGTTACAATTTTTATACTCATAACTTATAACACGATCACTCGGTGGAGACTAAGCACTCTGAAAAAAGTCAGCAAAAGCATTGACTATTGATACGGGGTCATTACAGGAGTTGTTTTGGTAGAACATTTTATTAGGAATTCTATGTGTTACTCTTACTGGAAAAATGGCATCAAGTAAGTTGACTCTACACTTCCCTCGCAACAATGTCATCAATTCATGAAAGATTATGGAGCACCCTCTGAGCTAGCTACAAACATGTATCAAAAATTAAATTGGTCATGCCAGCCAAACAAGCCCATATACATTTAGCACATTCTCCATGGTCTTCATCCATTTGATGATGATAGTGATGTCAATCCATTTTCAATATTTTTTAGACCATGCACGGAGTATGAGTTACTAGTTTTATCATTCAACAGACATAAATAAAAAATCAGCTGGTGCAGATGACATACCGGTTTTCTTAATCTTCCTCAGATAGTAGAAATAAATATGTATTTTCTATCTGGGAGATTAACTAGCAAAATGAGAACAGGTAAAGTGATTCCACTGTATGAGAAAAAAGAGCGAATGTTGATGAAGAATTATAGAGCAGTAACTATGCCGGACAGTTTGTCTAAGGCCCGTATCGTCAGTCGTTCCTACAATTGTAGGACGCCTTTATGGCCTCCTTGATTTTCAGTCTTTGCTCTCCTTCAGAAAGGATGGTATATTTCTAGATTTCTACTGTTCCGTGTCAGCGCTCTCCTATTGCCAAGCTATGTTTTCTTTTTGAATTGTAGGAAATTTCAGGCTATATAACAGATGATATAATAAATCAACTACCACGCCATAAGGGCGTCCTACAATTGTAGGAACGATACGGCCCTAAGGCATACGAATATGCATTTTTAGATCGTTTGATGACTTTTTGAGCAACTAAAAGGTTATTACCAATAGACAACATGGTTTCCAGCAAGGAAGATCGGCAAATTCAGCAATGAACCTTTTATATAGGATTAATGTCCCGCAGCTATTTTTTGTGATTTGAGTGGGGCATAGTCTCTTTCCTTGAAAATCGGAGGCAATATGTATCTATCAATTTTGAATCCGACGGCATATATTCTAACATAAACTCTAAAGTCAGTCCAATTCAGAAGGGTGTGCCACAGGGTAATATACTGGGACCGATTTTCTTCCTCTTATATGTCAATCAGATCGCAGATGTTTTGCCCACCATTAAATATACAGCTTATGCGGATGACATATATTTGCTCTTTTATCGAAAGAGAATGCTGTCCTCCAAGAAAACTGTCCTTGACGAAATTGATCAACTTATTGAACTCGCGTGATCTTTTTCTTAACACCACGAAAATAGAAGTACTAAGATTCAGCAATTACCAGCGCAAGATATATCAATTCAGTATTAGATAGTCAAAATTCCTCGGAGTCTTTATTGATGAGTGTTTGAGTTGGACAACCCACTGTGAGCAACTGTGTAAATCATTATCCTCTTTTTTAACACGCTTTTTTAGCATTTGCTTGTGGAGTAGCTCGTCCCACGCACATGAAGTGTTTGTATCTCAAAAAAGATCATAAGTTTAGCAAATGTATAGTATGTAACCACCATTCGAGTAGCGAACTGTTTAAAAATTTTGGCGTACTGACATTGTCTTCTTTGTATATACTACAAATAGCCACTATGTATTTTCGAATAAGCACACTTTTTTGTAAACATAAATGTTCACACGCACAATACCAGAATGAAAACTCAATTACGTTTACCTATTTTTAACTATAACTGATGCAGCTACGTCTCACCAAATTACTTGAGATTAAAAATTTTCAAATACCATATAAGCTAGAGTAACAATCAAACGAGAGGTCCTTCAAACGGAAATTGAGAAGGTTTCTGATCGATCAGTGTTTTTATAGTGTTAAAGAGTTTTTCTCTTGCAAGCATTTTTAATGTTTTAAGCGTGAAAAATGTTTTTATTGTGTTTTGTTTTATTTCATTTTACTATTATTTTGTACCTAGTATTAAGTTTAATTGGCAATGCCTATATTTTTGTAACATCAACTGGACAATAAAGAATTTGAATTTGATAACGCTAACGTTAGTTTCTTCCCTGCCTTAAGTATCGACCATCTGGCAACGCTTGAAAGCCACACCAGTCAAGTACGTCATAAGCGCCACGCACGATACTATAACACATCCCGGCCGGCGATGCTATCAGATGCAAGGCAGAGTTCAGCGTTTGAAAGTCGCCGTTGCATCACATCGTCCCGACCAACCGCGTGTCTCGTGTATAAATATTTCTCCAAGTTATAAGGGCAAATGTACGGGGAAATATTTGATGTGTGAGATATGTACTGATAGGTGTGTACAACAAAATAAGATATATCTTCACGATCCCCAACTCCCGCTTTTCAACCCTTAATTTTTTCATAAAAATAATCAGGAGCCTCTGAAACGTTTCTATAAAAAGCTATAAAGCTTTTTCGTCCTTGACACAGTAGCAATCGAGTGTGAAAACATCCAAATCCGAGCAGTACTTCCAAGCTATAGGCAGTCCAAAGATTAGCGGACAGACCGATGGTAATGAGTAATTCTAACAGCCTAATAACTAGCTGAGGCCTCATATGGTATTGAATTCAGTTAAATCGCCAAATACGGGCTAGCCCTAACGCACGTATCCAATTATTTTGCACCCTACGCAATAATGATAATAATAGTTCAAAAATAATATTTTTAGGAAGCCTAACGTTTTAGCTGGAAAGCACGTATTCTTATTTAATTTTCATGAAATTAGCCTTTTCTGAGGAAATCAGTCTTTTTTCAATACTGTCATTATTGATTTACACTGTAATCAATCTCCAAAAAATACAAATTCCTGTCGGCAATTACACATGTCTTATGAAAGTTACTATATTTTCAAAATGGCGGAACAGTTTACTTTAAATCCAGTACCAGAACTGATGAAACTGTACTGAAGCAAGATTACACTTTCTCAGCTTGAAGACCAGGTTTTCAAAAAATGCCATCGTTCGGTGATATCACAGAAGGTGCAAAAAATAACAAAACTGAGTTGGGGCTGATCTGATAGATACATGTCAGATCCGTTGACCCAGAAGACGTTAAGGCCAGGTTAAGGCTGGTATAGTCACTCATGCTAGTCGTAAGTTTTACTTGTACAGTCTTAGATCTACAGGGTGCCGCATCGAAAACGAAACAGACGCATTTACTGGCAGCTCAGTTTTTTTTTTGAAAAACGCTCAGACCCGTCGATTGTGTTTTCGAGGGGGGACACAAGTTTGGCAAAAAATCACGTTAGCACGTGCGGCCCCCTAAGCGGGGGTGACACCACCCCCAAAATCTTAAATGGAAACGGGGGTCGAGTGATACCTTATTTTAAAGGTTTTTCAATTCCCTTTATAATGATATAAAATTAATGTACTTTAGTTCAGTAGTTTTGAAGATTTATTGATTTAAAGCTTAAATAAAACTAATACATCATCATTAGTGGAGATCAATACATATGGCAGCAAAATAATTTAAAAATGAAGAATGAACTGACCCGTTAGGCAAGTAATGGCCACCATGACTCTCCATGCAATAATAAAGATTTTGCTCAAAACGTTGCCGCACATTTTGCAATATTTGAGGAGTAATTTGAAGGCACTCATTCACAATTCTTTGTCGCAGGTCTTCTAATGATGTTAGCTGAGTAGCATAGATTTTGCTTTTTAAATGCCCCACATAAAGAAATCCAAAGGTGATAAATCTGGCGATCTTGTGGGCCATTCAATGGCACCTCTTCTACCAATCCATCGATCTGGAAACGTCTGATCTAAATTTTGTCGAACACGTAATGCGTAATGTGGTGGGGCACCATCCTGTTGGAACATCAACCTATTCGCAATGTACCGCCGATCATTCTGATTTTCAATTATGGCTGTTAATCTATGGCGTATTCCAGAAAGTTGCAAATACATTTCACGGGTCAAATTTCCAGGTAAGAAAAAAGGACCATACTAAATGATCGCCAAAAATACCAGCCCAAAGATTTAATTTTTGAGGCTGCTGTGTATGAAGCTCATGACAAATTCTGGGCTTAGAATCAGACCAATATCGGCAGTTATGAAGATTTACTACGCCATTTAAGAAAGAGGAACATTCGTCGGAAAAGCAAGTGTTGAATAGAACATGTTCATCGTTTATAATTCGTTCACTCATATCTTCACAAAATTGTAATGGCCGATCAAAATCGTCTTCATCAAGTTCTTGTACGAGGGATGTCTTTTAAGTTTTGCATATAGAAACATAGTAGGCCGCGCGGATCGAACGTCAGTACTGAATCACTCTTTAGCAAACTTAAATTCAAAGTTTCACAACAATACGTGTAGTGTTCTCACTACAGTGAATTTTTAAGTGTCACCAAGTCATTAGAAAAATGGAACTCAACCGAGAACATTTTCGCGCCATAATTTATTACAACTTTCAGAGACAATTATCGCAACAAGAATGCCTTGCTGAGTTACTGTCTGTTTTCGGCAACGAAGCGCCACATCAGTCGACAATTTCCCGTTGGTATGGTATTCAAACGTGGACGGGTGAGTCTTGGCGACGATCCCAGGGTGAGTGCACCAACAACGGCAGTCACCCAGAAAAACGTCGATGCTGTGCGCAAACTCATTATTGAAGATAGACATGTGACATATCGCGAGATTGAGGCGTCCTTGAAGATCTCAAAGTCCTCAATTCAAAAAATTTTACATGAAGAATTAGGAGTAAGAAAATTAGTTTCTCGTTGGATACCCCACCTGTTGACTGAAGAGCAGAAAGCAGCCTGGGTTAATTGGTGTCGAAAAACGCTTGGCCGTTTCAATTCCGGAAACTCGAAAAATGTGTACAGCATTGTTAGAGGTGACGAATCGTGGATTTAGTGTTATGAACCAGAAAATAGAGAAAAGACAGTCGGCTATTTGGGTGTTCCAAGGTGAAGAAAAGCCAACAAAAGTCATCCGTTCTCGAAGTGTTTCGAAAAAGATGGTCGCGACATTTGTGTCAGAAGCGGGTCATATTGCAACAATTCCTCTTAATGAGCAAAGAACTGTTACTGCGGATTGGTATACCACCATTTGTTTGCCAAAAGTTATCACTGAGCTTCGAAAAATCAACCCCGAAAGAAGAATCATCCTCCACCAAGACAATGCAAGCTCGCACACAGCCCAAAAAACAAGGCAGTATTTAACGGAAGAAAAGTGGAATTATTGGACCATCCTCCATATAGTCCCGATCTAAGTTCTAACGATTTCTTTACTTTCCCGGAAATTAAAAACAGACTGCGTGGTCAAAGGTTCCAGTCACCAGGAGAAGCAGTTGACGCACTCAAAAATGCCGTTTTGGATCTGCCAGCATACGAGTGGAATAAGTGCTTCGAAAATTGGTTCGACCGCATGTAGATGTGTATTAATCTTCGTAGAGAATACTTAGAAAAACAGTAAAGTCACTTAAAACTACTTACCGTGTTGTTTTATTTCCATGTGCAAAACTTAAAAGACATCCCTCGTACCAGGTGAATGTTATACGGATGAAAACTATGGGCCTTTAGAATCCGTTGGACAGTACGTCGACTAACACCACACACAGTCTCCAATTTGCGGGTACTTAACGTAGGATCTACATAAACTTGCCCTAAAACCCCCACTTCATTCCTTATGGGATTTTCAATGTTGCGTTTTTTATTGGCGAAATTTAGCTACAAGTTCTAGAACATATTTTCCATGCACGTTACTGTTCTCATGTCGCTCATAAAATATTTCTGCTGTTCTATTAGCGCACTGATTACTTCCGAAAAATATTTCGATAATTTCAACTCTTTCTGCTGTGGAATATACCATGGTTAATTTATGTAATAAAGCGTTACAAGTTATTTTAGCAACAAAGTTTGGTCAAATCAATCGCAAACTACTGATCGACCAGCCAAAGATTGCTAGGGACGAAAGGGGGAAATGCGATGAAAAAACCTTACCATTAGACGATTTTATATGGAGTCATAGGCGGAGATCGGAGAGACTTGAATTATTAATTGAATTTATATTTTATTACAACTGGTAGTATTAATATTTTTTTGCGATTCATAATGACGTGATACCAAACATACATTATAAGAAATAAATATACACAAACACTGAATATTGAGAACAAAATAAATATATTTTTTAGGCAACAAGTAATATTCCTATGTACGCATTATGATTGAACAGCAAAACAAATTATGCATTCTTCTAAAATAGAATACAACAAGTCAAAAATATCTGACTGAATAGAAAAATATAGGAAAACAAAAAGTAATTTCTTGATGAAATAACCCATAAACAACACATAGAATTAGACTTTCTACTGAGATACTAAAAGCCACAAACCAATAGTATAATAAATGAATATCTAAAAATTCTAAAAGGTAGCCAATCTAGTATAGTTTCAATCCTGATTAGAGTCATGATCACTGTCTGAGGAACTGTCATTGCTATCACTTTCACCTCCTATGTTGATTATTATTTCTTCCTGTATTTCTTGAATGAGACTGTCTTTTTCCCAATATTCATCTTCAATTTTTATAACATGTCCAATAACCTTTTGCCAGTCACTGGCACTTACTGAAGCGATGGCCTTATTAGAAATTTCATCTAGTTTTTTTATAGTAAATTCGCCGCTTGTATTATGGCTTCTAATGAAAAATTTTACTTGTGCCCAAATCATCTCTATGGGATTAAACTGACACATATAGGGTGGCGTTCGAAGTGGGGTGTGTCCGAAACTTCTTATTAAATTATCTATCTTATAATTTTTCTCATCAGATGGTGGCCTATGTAGACAAGCTATTTCATAAAGCTCCATTTTTTTAGCATTAGGATCATGCTCTATACCTTTTTTGCTCAACCACGTGATGATGTCTCTTTTTAGAGAAGATCTAGTTGGAGGCTTGTCTTCCAAAGCTGAATGGTAAGGTGCATTATCCATTATTATAATACTATTAGGAGGAATGTTAGGAAATAGTTTTTCAGTAAGCCACTTCGTGAAATTTTCTTGGTTCATTTGACCGTGATAATCACCAGTGGCACAGCCAGCCTTGAAAATGAGACAGGCTCCAGGAACAAAACCATCTTGCGAACCCGCATGAACAATTATAAGTCGTCCTGGAAATGAATAAATAGCCTCATTTTAGTGTTATTTTAAGTTTGCCAACACCTTTTTGAATCACTATGTATAAAAAACATATTTTTGAGAAAAAAATACTTGCAAGGGATTATGTATTCAATTAGACAAATTAAATGAGCACTTATTAAGAATATTCCAAAATTGAGAAAAATGTATAATAAGCAAAATCGAGGTGAAAGAAACTTTATTACCTGTAGAACTTATATTGCTCAGGACACCCATAATTTCTTCGCTTTGCCAGCATTTCTTGAAAGTGAGGTCATTATCAACCCAAGTTTCGTCCAAATAAATAATATGCCTTCCTTCTTCCCGGAACTTTTTAATAGACCTAAGATACTTGTATCGCCAATGTAAAATACTGGGTCTTTCCATTAGTAATTTCCTTTTGTTGTGGCATTTACGCCAGTAAAATCCTTTTGCTTTTAAAAGCAGCCTCAACGATTCTTTACCAAATGGAAATTCCATTTCTTCCTTCAGTTTGATTAGAAGTTTACTACAAGTAGGTACCACTTTAAAATCACAGTAAAATTTTTCTATCATTCTCCGAATAATGGAAAAATCGACTCCATCAATTTTTTGGATCACAGAAGGGCGTGATCTCTTTTTTCCGGGAGAAGCTAAAGGCTGTGTGGAGGTTGCATTTTGCCTGTCTTTATCTTCTTTTCTAATTTTACTTATAGTTCGTTCACTAACACCCGTATAATATGCCGCCCTTGCATTTCTAGCTACCAGTGGATAAACGAAAGTATTGTTAGCCGCTTCTGCATCGCAAGCACGTATCACGTTTGCTATTATTTCCCTTGCCTGGCTGTGAATAACTTTCCCATGCTTGAATTCCATTATCACCACTAAACAGTAAATTATATTTTCAAAGTATTTGCCAACTGCCTACGCCTATGGGAGTAGGTTTATAAATGACCGTGCCATCGGCACGTTATTCTAGTTTCAGATAAGATAAGAGTTTTGGACCAATCAGCGACCGGATGTTTACCTGCGGCCTGGGTTTTCCAGCTACATTGCCAAATTCAGCGGAACAATTCTATATCTTAAATATGTTAATATGTATGGACCGCATTTTATGTAGAACATCTGACAACTTCGCAATTTTTTGTCCGCATTCTTTCGGCTTGCAATCTTTCGCTGGTCCAACATTATGTACTAAATTCCTATTCAAAATAAGTACGAGATATTTCCTGATCTTTCTTCAAGAAATAACTTTTTTGCCACAAAAAAACGCTCCATTAGCTATTTTCAACAACAAAATGATAAACAAACCATGGGCGTAGTAAAGAAAAGCATTTACTTTTTAAGTAAATTCTTTTAGTCAAATTTCTTCTGAAAGTAGTACAAACTAATCTGATGTACCTATTAGAGTCTACTTTAAGCTTTAAATCAATAAATCTTCCAAACCACTGAACTGAAGCTCATTTATTTTACATCATTATAAACGGAATTGAAAGACCTTTAAAATAAGGTATCACTCGACCCCACTTTCCATTTAAGATTTTAGGGTTGGTGTCATCCCCGCCTAGGGGGCTGCACGTGTTAACGTGATTTTTTGCCAAACTTGTGTCCCCCTCGAAAACAAAATCGACGGGTCTGAGCGTTTTTCCAAAAAAAAAAACTGAGCTGCCAGTAAATGCGTCTGTTCCGTTTTCGATGCGCCACCCTGTATATGCAAGATGTAATGTGTATTGTACCAAATCGTCAGTCGTTTTCGTTGTTGCGTTCCACCAATTGCTAGGCATGAGTAAAATATCTGAAGTTTGATTTTTGGGCGTGTACCAACTAGCTTGAGAAAAAGAGTGTGCGACACCCTACATCTTGCATGACGACTTAATTGCAATTAAAACGTAACAATAGCATGAGTGTCTATGCAAGGCTTTGAGGATAACGTTAACACAAAGGAACGGAGAAATGGAGAGAGCAAGAAAGGAAAAGAAAATCTGTTATGGCAGGAAGCAATTAGGCATTATTAAAATCACTCGAACAACTTTGACGTGTAAAGGTTTTCGTAAAGGTTTTGTCAAAGTACTCTTATTTTGGTTATTTTGAGTTCACGAATTAATTTTGATTACAGTGCTTGTGAACGCTCGGCTTTTTCTATAAAGGGTGGCCCATCCATATGTGGACGGAATATTACTCATAAACAAATACATTTTGGGAAAATCTATTTATGGCATGTTATATATGACATTTGAGGGCACATTTCTAAAATATTGGCAATTATACAGGGTGTCCCAATTTTGACCTAAATACCAAAGTTGTGATTTTTTAAATGGAATGCCTCAAATTTTATTGCATATTTCGATGAACCAATTCAAAAGAAGAAGATTGATATAACATCCTATGAGCTTTTGGTAATTAGCTACTGAGATGTAAGGTGTTTTGTCCAGAAAAACTGTACACCTCGGCAACCCCTCAATCCGCCATTTTGAAATTTGAAGTTCTGAATTTTGTATCAAAAAAAACTTAAGACACATCAGCTTTTATCTTATTTATTACTTTTTCGAATTCTCATTTTTGCTCATACAGGGTGGTCAAAAACGCGAATTGTACTTTTTCCAAAAATTTCAAATGCATAACCCTGTACATTTGTGCAAGTTTGGATTCAATTTTTTATAAACTTTTTTTGGTATAAGGTTTGATTCAGATAAAATCACTATACTTTGAGTTAAGCTTTTAATAGAACAACACACCAAAATTAAGGAAAAAAATCACATCATCCATGGAAACAAAAGACAAATAGTGGGCTAGTTCCATATTGCCACTAAGAGTACAGAATTGACGTAAAAACTATACTAAGTGACATATAAATCCGAACACCCAGTTTAAATGGTTTTATTTTAATAAAAGTTGGTGAATGTATTTATCTTACTGTAAATAACAAGTGAAAAAATTTTCAGCCTTATCAGTTGGACATTCCGGTTTTTATAATGCTTTTTTTAATTCACTAACGCTCTAAAAATGAATATTTCAGCCGCAGTAAAGAATCAACGTTGGCGGATTTTGGTTTTGACATCCTTTACGATCGGTTACGATGCCTAGAGTACGGAGACCTGTAGGATTTCGTCAACTTAGTGAGTTTGATAGGGGCCGTGTAGTGTGACTTCGGGAAGCTGGACTTTCTTTTCGGGCAATTGCAGTTAGAGTGCAAAGAAGTGTAGACACTGTGGTTAGGTGTTGTCAGGCATGGCTTCGAGAAGGCCGTACGCAAAGAGCAAGGGGCACTGGACGCCGCCGTAGAACAACAGACCGTGAAGATCGCCGCCTAAGATTATTGACCTTAAGGGACCGTTTCTCCACTACCAGGTCCATTGCAAATGAATGGTTTGCAGAACACGGAAGACCTATTGGCATGCGAAGTGTTTACCGACGAATGAGAAGTTTTGGCTTGTTTTCATACCGGCCACACTGGGTCCTCCCTTTAACTCGAGAACACCGACGTAATCGCCTTGAGTGGTGCAGACAATGGTCACTCTGGGATCAGGAATGGAACAGTATTGTCTTTAGTGACGAGTCTCGATTTTGTTTAGGCATGCACGATGGTCGTGCCAGGGTTAGAAGGCGACGTGGTGAAAGAAGGAATCCACAGTTTTTTGTTGAAAGACATGTTCATCACACTGTTGGAGTTATGGTTTGGGGTGCTATAGCTTATGGTTTCAGGTCACCTTTAATCTTCATCAGAGGTAACATGAACGCGCAGCGTTATATCCACGAAGTTCTATAACCCCATCTTTTACCCTATCTTGACACCCTGGCAGATCCAACTTTCCAACAAGATAATGCCCGACCACATGTTGCAAGAGTGACTTCTTTCAACAAAATGATGTCACATTGTTACCATGGCCACCAAGATCTCCCGACTTATCCCCAATTGAGCACGTGTGGGATATGATGGGTAGGAGATTGCTCAATTTGCAACGTCCTCCTCAGACTCTAGAAGCACTTCGAGAGGAGTTGGTGGTTGCCTGGAATGAGTTACCACAGGAGGACATTGACCACCTGATCAGAAGCATGCCTAGGCGCGTTGGAGAATGCGTAGCACATCAGGGTGCATCCACACATTATTAAAGGTCAAAGGGCTTTAAAGCAGTGCAATCATTTTGAAATTTTTATCATTTACTTATTATGCTTCATTAAGTACTTATACAAAATTTTATTAAAATAAAACCATTTAAACTGGGTGTTCGGATTTATATGTCACTTAGTATAATAACAACCAGAACAGTATAAATCCGCTTCAAGCGTAGTAGAGAAAAACAACTATAACGACAACAAAAACAAACACCTATCACTTCTCAAGACCTAATCTACAAAAACTGCTCAAAAATATCTCCACCATGTTGAATACACAGCCGTAGTCTTTGGATAATTGACCATTGCACATCCCTCAGCATGTGTTCCTTATGTTCAGAAAAGCATCGTTAATGCTTTCCTTCATATTTTCCGGGGTATAGGGTGGATATCTATAAACCTCTTGCTTAATGTAGCCCCATAGAAAAAAGTCCATCGGTGTCATTTCTGGTGATCTAGATATAGGCCCATCACGACCGATCCAACGATTGTTACTTCAGGTGTCCAAATAGTTACGCACATGAGTATCATAATGTGCAGGTGCGCCATCAAGTTCGAATTACATATGCATCCGAGTTTGCAGGTTGACATCCTCCAAAAGCAAAGGCAAATGTTGGATCAAAAAATTCAAAGATTCTGTACCTGTTAATCTGTTGTCGAAAAAGGAAGGCCCGGTAACTTGTCTGCCAATAACTCCTCCCCAAACATTCAAGCTCCATTTATTTTGGAAATCTATTTGCCTAACCCAGTAAGGATTTTCCGTCGCATAATAGTGCATGTTGACAACACCTATGCTGCTGAAAGTTGCCTTATCGCTAACAAGAACCTTATCCAGGAAAGTAGTGTCTTCAGTCACTTTATTTAGCATTATTCTTCTAAACTCCATTCGCGATGTGAAATCCTGAGTACGAAGGTCTTGATGCAAGCATAGGTGATATGGATGGTACCTATGCTTGTGAATAATCCTTTGGACAGAAGTTCTGCATATATCAGTTTCTGATCCAATTTGCCGTGCACTTAAATGGGGATTTTCCTGCAACTTTAGAACCTCCAACTGATTCGCCTCATTGGTGACACTTGGATTATTTATACATTTTTCACTATATTCCACTGCCCCACTTGATTCAAAACGTTCTCGTAGTGTGGAAAATGTTTTCGGCCTTGGATGTCGCATATCAGGGTACCGTTGCTTATAAATGCGAGATGCTAGGAAACTATTTCTTTGGGCTTCGCCCAAAACGAACACCATATTCACCATTTTGTCTTTAGAAAAATTCATTCGTCTTTAGAAAAATTCATTTTCAAACAAGTTTTTATTATAATGCTCACAAAGCGAATTTTAACAGTTTGTAACTATTTAACAATTTATTTGTTTCCAAGGATGATGCGATATTTTAGGGAATTAATCCGTTCCATAAAGGCGTGCTTATAACCGAAAAAATAGCCGTAAAACCGTTATGTCTAGTATAAAAAAAGCTTATAAAAAATTGAAACCTGACTTGCACAAATATACAGGGAGATGGATTTGAAATGTTTGTGAAAAAGTACAATTCGCGTTATTGACCGATATGAGGAAAAATGAAAATTCGAAAAAGTAACAAATAAAAGCTGAGGTGTGCAAGTTTTTTTTGAAACAAAATTCAGCACTCCAAATTTCAAAATCGCTGACTGAGGGGTTGCCGAAGTGGGGGGTTTTTCTAGACAAAACACCTTACCTATATCTCAGTAGCTAATTACCAAAACCCCATAGTATGTTATGTCAATTTTCTTCTTTTGAATTGGTTTATCCAAATATGTATTAAAATTTGAGGCATTCCATTTGGAAAATCACAACTTTAATACGTAGGTCGAGATTGGGACACCCTGTATAATGGCCAATATTTTAGAAATGGGCCCTCAAATGTCATGTATAACAACTCATAAATAGAGTTTCCCAAAATGTATTTGTTTATGAGTAATATTCCGTCCACACATAGATGGGACACCCTGTATAATCTATAGAATTCTATAGGAATTCAAGTGATTAGGTTATTGACTTATTCCAACACCCTGCATAATATCAAGCAAATTAAATGAATATGTACAACTAAATACACATTCGACAAAACGATAATCCGCTCCTAACAGGTAGGTGCGACTTTCTAATAATAGGTTTACAGCACCGATAGGCATGTCTAGTCGCAAATATTCCAAAGTTTATTGACCTTACTAACCTTGATTCTAAGAAATATACATATTTTATTATGCTCAGATCCAAAGCATATTGACTTTGGTGGATTTGTAATGGCTTAATGTTTTCGGATGGTGTGTACTATTTTGAAAATGTTCTAATTCAATGTGAAAAGAAAAAATGCTGATAGTTATCAGCACCAACATCAAGGCGCAATAATAAACATTAAACCTATGCTCATAAGGTCAATAAAAAAATGGCGTCAAGTAGACTTCTCACGCTGCGCTGTCATCAGTTCGTAAAGATTAGTCAATTTAGCCCTCCTGAGGAAAAGGTTAGCCACGAACATGTAATGTATAGGGTTGCCAGACGTGACGATTTTTCGCCAAATGGCGATGTGACGGCATGGCGATGTGACGGCTTCAAATGGCGACTAAAATTGATAGCTTGGCCATTGACTACTTCAGTAGCGCCCTGTATCTAGCAAATTGGCTATATCTCGCGATTTTTAATTTCTGACTCCAATTAAATTAATTTGTAATCCATGTCTGCTGATATGTGTATAGATTAATAAAACGAGGACCAGCGGAAGTTCTGTGCTCTAAACACAATGACGCTATGGTCAAATGCCATGTCAAGGTGTTCCAAGCATATCAACGATGTCCCATCCTAACACTTTTGACTCAGTGTTGCCAGATGTATGTTTATTATCTTTGTAAGATAACCGGGAGGGAGAGATACCCCCCATCCACCGGTGAATACACAGAAAATTATTGTTCCACGTTCTTTTATTTTCAATAATCGGTAATCCCCCCCTCAACAAATAAAGTTTCAGTCTTTCTAGTGTTAACTGAGTTCGCAGTGTTTCTACAAGTCCGAGCAAAAAATCGACAGTCACAAAGTGTTAAGAAAAACATTATATTCTATTCTAATGTGACTGACTCAGGCTCAACTGTGTGCCAATAAAGATATATGATCATTCAATAAAAATAAATACAATTATGTATATGTATATACTCAGTGACATCAGAAGTGTTATACCCAGAAAAAATAATTTCTTCAACTTGGTTTTTTTGGCAATGGGGTAGTCTTACATCAAGAATAAAACGATAACATTCTCACGAAATTTTATTGATAAGTAATTAAAAAAAGTAATGTGTTGGGCGACCCTGCCGCTGAATACTCTCCTGTATTCGTCTGGGCATCCACAAAATGAGATGATCGATGTCTGGTTGTGGCACCTCATTCCAAGCAACTTGAGCTATGGCAGAGACAGTGGCGGATGGTGCAAAGTGGATAGTCTCCTCCCCATCATATCTCACACATGTTCGATGGGATTTAAATCCGGTAAACGGGGTGGCCACGGCAAATCATTAACGCATGTTCCTTGAAGAAAGTCCGTAGTACGACGAGCAATATGGGGGGTGCGTTGTCTTGCTGAAAAAGGGCGTGTGGACGGCCTCTAGATATGGCAGTAACAAAAACAAAGATAAAACTTGGCATTGTTGCCACAGCGTTCTTTAAATGTAGTTATGTTGCCAAAAAAACAAATTGTAGAGATTATTTTTTTCTGAGTGTAACACTTCCAATGTCACTGAGTATATTTTTCACCTGCCTTTATTTGAAACAAAATTATACCACCATGCGAGAGAAGGAAAAAACACCATAATATACATTTTTCCAGAACAGAACCTGTTTACTTATCTAACATCAGAGGAGTGACGTGTTGTTCCGCTGGCAGGTAATTTTGTTGTAATCAACAACAGGTCGTTTACATAATTCTCTTGTCCTCGTCAGGAAGGTGTGTAATTTGCTTCCCTGTTGCATATTCATCGTATGTAACTCAATAGGGCCTTACACTTCCCACGCGTAAGCGAAGCACGTTACACATGAAGGCCCCATCTCCCTTTTTTTCAACTGCGTGTTTGGAGCAGTATTATGAATCCTTTTCATCTGATTATTTCATGGTGTGTATAAAGATTACTGAAAAACGATGGGAGCATTCAGCTAGAGTAAAGCTATCCAGCTGGGCTTTTATGCTGAATAGCTTTAGCTATGGGATAGCTTTGTCAGTTTGACAGCAGATTTCACTTGGCTGACAGATTTGATAGTACATTGGTTAATGTTCAGAAGGGTCAATGCTATTCATGGTTACTGCTATTTAGCATCAAAAGCTGGTCCACTTTAGGTGGTTGAATGGTCCCACTGTTATCAATTTGTTTATCGTAAAATGCATTATTTGTGAATTATTTCTTCAATAACTTGATAACAAATATTGGCACAGCTCTAAAATCGTATGTCAAAATTCCAGTTTTATAGTAGAATTGAGCTGGTGATCACTTTCATTCTTATCATTTTACACTTTCAAAAATCTTTGATTTTCCCAAACCTCATTTTTCAGCAAATTGAGTTTTAAGATTTTTTGAAGAAAGTGATAAAAAATTAATAACCCAATCAATTTTTCTGTAAAATTGGAATATTCACATACAATTTTAGAGCTGCACTATTATTTATTAGCATGTATTGTTATGATTGAAGAAAAATGTATCAACTTGCACAAAAATTGCATTTTTGATAAACAAGAAACCGGTAGTATTGTTTTTCAATCATCACTATCAACACCACGAGACAATCAAGTAAAAGTATTGAGAATACTCCTCCAGACAGGCTGTTGAAATTAAATATTTAACTAAATCGTGAAATATTACGCGTACGTTACTAACTATCCAAAGTCTTCACGAGTATTTATCATGTTTTAACTTCTACTGAGGTGAACAGCTGGTCAGCAAGTGACATCTTTGTATTAGTCTGTAAGGTTGGCAATAATTACTCTGGTGTAAATCTAGTAAAACTTCCTTGTAGCGTTTTTTTTTTTAAACAAATGGACTTTTCTAAATAAACGGGTTGTTAGCAAGTACAAAATGAATATGAAGGGTAGGAAAAACAAACAAAAATACCCCTCTGCCTACCTGGTGTTGACCAATCTCATCAGAGTAATGTGTCATTTATCGCTATGGGAAGTTTTGAAATATTACTAGATAATCAGCTGTTATTCTACCATAATAGATACTTTTGAAAAAACAATATGGGATGATATAATATAGGGTTTTCAGATAACTTCTGTATTAATAAATTTATGAATTACATTTTTCGCGGGTGCTCTCAGCTTTATGAAAACAGAAGTTAATCTCAAAGTCTGTATGTCAACCCACAGCTATTTGACTTATATAACCCTAAATGGAATATTACACATTTTAATTTAGTAACAGAAGAGAATTAATTTTATATATGCTTTAGATTCAAATTTTTTCTATCCTCTAATTGCATATTTCATCAATCCTGGGTATATTTGTCATGGTTGCCAGTTGTCTAGACAGCCCCCTTAAGGTTTTCACAAAATGGTTGAGCACATTTGCAAACACATATATCAAGTTTATAAAACAATAAACAAACTATAATAACTCGTATTTTAAATACAGTTACCTAGTAATGTGTGAATAATGCCTATCAAGAAAGATAAGTGATACAATAAGTTTAATATGGCAATTCATACTAAGCATTTTTCTATATTAATTTAGATAATCAATTACTACTACTCACTGTTGAGTAAATTGCCTTTTCACATACAAATCTTTTAAGTGTTCACATCCTTTACACCCGCCTTCAGTTACGCCTATGGAATTCGAACAACTGGCGGGAAAGATTGTTATTGTTTTTAATGAAAGGTGAAAGGGGAGGGAGGATATTATTTACGGCAACTTACCTTGGGTTGAAGATTATCTTCATCCTGTTGCTTTCCTTTGCTTTCCCGTTTCCTCTTAACACCAGGTACGTGAAGGCTGTAGTTATATTTGAAATTACTTTTCCCATCTGGTATAAGGTACTTTCTTCCCACAGCTCTTTTCAGGGCTATGCGGATGGCCCCTTTAAGGTCATTTTCGGGTGTTTCTTCAACTGTATGAGACTGACGGATGTATTTTTCGATTGACTTCACATTCGAACCGTCGCGCTCACCCAATTCGCGAACTGCTTTGGTCACCAATTTTGTCAAATCCACTCCTTTTTCTATTCGGATTGTCCTGCTACGCACACCCCCGGGATCTTTGTACGAGCTTTGCCCTTTATTGAAAACTTTCAGCACGCTACCGGCTTTTACAGCTATTTCTAAATGTTCTCCAATTACGTCCTCATGGTAATTATTATGATGCTGCCTGATCGCATGGCAGATTCTTTCTACACTAGGTCGCTGCTTTTGGACGCGAATTTTTCTTATTGCATCGAGTATCCAGGCTGTCCAGACATCCTGAGACACCTCTGCTGGATCAGACATTGTGTTTGAGCTCTGAAAAAGTATTGAGGAGCGGTAATTTACAAGCGAAAATCTGAACGGTACAGTACCCGCCGGTAACTGTACTGTTTACTGCACAATCCCGCCCGAACTTAATTTTGATATTTAACCAGGCTGTAATGTATAATATGTAAAGCGTGCGTGGCTAAACGATTAAGTATGACACAGGACGTTTTTAAAATACCTTTAAAATGTTGTGCAATCGATGGAAACGATACTACAGCGCGATCACTCTTTGTACACAAGCAAAACCAATCCCGTCGGTAGCCATCTTGGGGCGAGTAAAACGGTCATCATTTTGCGACGTATTTTCAGGATTTATCGTAACCAGGCACGATTTGCACAATTTACCAGTCTTTTACAACGTTATTCAATCGTAGCTGTATCAGTTACATACCGAAACACTATTCAGGTTAGGCGTAAAATAAGCAAAAAGCAGCTGTCACTATGCACTAACCACTAACGTAACACACCATCCGGCGGCAAACGGCAAGGCTTTCGTTTTTATTAGACATTCCAATATATCGCCTGCAAGCATCTACTTTTCAAATACACTTATACGTTTGTATTTCACAGAAAACCATACATCTCTGTATTATGGGAAACGGAAACGGTGCACATCGACGAGTTAATTAAATTATGATCGACATAATTTATCGTAAAATATCACAACAAAAGGTTAATATGTGACAAAATGGCCAGAAAAGGCGCGCGCATGCGGCAATTCTCCTGTCGCCCTTCTCACACTGCAAACGTCATCGAGTGATCGAGCTGAACATAGGCGTGCGTGGTTCTTTAACCGGGGGACCAGAAATCAGAAATACTTCGATATAGTTAAAAAAAGCCTGCACCTACCACCTATCGTGTTTCACTTCCTATTCAGGACGGAATCTAGCGTAAATCGACCAAATGGAGCGCGGAGATGAGGGGTGGGGCGCATTTTAGTCAGAAAGAAGAGGTTGTCCTTGCATGCTATGCTTTTTGAAAGAACCAAATGCATGTTTCTTTTCTGGCAATGCAGCGATTTTAATAACAGTTCCAAATCTATATGCTCCACATTTCTTTTATATTCAGTTTTTCCAATTCTAATTCTTATTTTGCCATTTATAATTGGTGCTAAACAATCATAAATAAAAACAGTAGTAGAGCACAGAGTACCTAAGAGGTATTGATCAAATTAATACTGTATCCACAGTGCTATTAATTTATTTTACGGGTAGGTGAATAACTGGTATCCATATTATAAAGATCAATAATTAATTTTTTAATTTCATGTGACTACCAGTGAAATTTTTATCTGCACAGAGCATTATTTTGAAGTTTAGGACAAAAAGGGAATCTAATTAAGGACACAAACATTACAAAATGTGTGCATACATTGAGCTTCTTGCATCATCTTATTTGCAAAAATATAAACGGAATGCATTGTTACGATTTGAAAGAAAAAGCAGACACAAAAGGGTAGAGATTCGAAAATAAAGTGTCATTTTGAAAAAGTCCCAAATAGTTAATAAAGGAAAATGATTAATATGTTTTATTATAGCAATAATGACTTGAATATATCTTATTCTGCCTTATTACAAAAATGTTGAAGCTAAGTTTCCTAGCCAACCGAGTTTTATAATAAACTGTAGAGAAAGATTTTCTGAAAGATGCATCAACTACAAGTAAGCGTTATGGACATTTTCATATGAGTATTAGAAGAAAAACAATCCAAAATTCATAAAAAACAATCTTGCAGAACAGTTTTATCATATTGTGAAAAATATTGCTATTAAAAACATTAAAAATCGTCATCACAATTTTTTATAATTAAAAAGTTTTAATGGGCACATAGACAATACTCAATATTTATTATAGCAATGTTTTATATGGTGAGGTTCAAATTTGACTGACGTCATAATGTGTGAAAGCATGCAATTTGTATGTTAGAAAGAGTGCAGAAACGCGGCAAGCTGCAGCTGCGTCTGTGGCCTTGTCACTCAGGTTGCTAGGCAACAAGATGCCTCTTTCTAACATAGGAATTGCATGCTTCTCGTGCTTCTCTCTCTTGTACAAACTATGAAGTCAGTAATATATAGATTTCACTGTATATTTTATATCAAGCATTTATTTTGAATCACCAATAAACTTAACCAATATGGTAATTAATCACAGAAAGCAATTTTATATATAGTACATCACAAAATATGTTAATGGACAGCAGCTTGGAATCCTATCACAGGACAACGTTCAAAAATCTTTTTCATAACAGATGGAAATACTGCAAGGAACTTGAACCTCTCACCCATTTTATCATTGTCAGTCAAATAGTTATAACAATTGGTTAGATTAGCAATATGCTTCGCATCTTTTATGGTATTTTTCAATGCTTCAAATCGATATTCTAGTCCTGTTTCTAATAAGAAGTCTCTTTGTGTAACAGGACCCAGGCATAAAACATCTTTTACGCTATTGAAGCTCTCACAAAGTAATTTGAAGTCCACATCAGCTGTTAAGTCTGCTGTACCGGGCATCATAAGAGGATCTACTTGTTTGTGCTGTTTGAATGCTCTAAATGTGTCTGTACCAGTTCCAAAATGACCATAGTCACATATTAGTGCTACTCCACCTAACTTCTTTATCCTTTCAGCAATCAGCTTGCTAATGCGTATACTATCTGGTGCTACCTCAACATGATCTCTAGTTTCTCCTTTTGTGATCAAGACTTGTAACATTGGGGTATCATTTCTAGAAAGGACATATCTGAATTTGTATTCTCCTTTTATGTCTGGATCATCTTTAGTATCAATATCAATTAATACTTCTTTGAAATTGCCATGAACTTTGTGGAATTTGTGGATGGGTAAAGCATCAAAAAATTCATGAGCAATAAGTAAAGTAAACCCAGGAGGTACATCTTCTAGCTGGTTATACCAAAACACAGGAATACCATGGTGTGATATGCCTCTTCTGTAAGCTGGACCATCATTTGTTGTCAAATTGCTTTGTATGCACAACCTTCTAGCTTGAGCACTACTTAAGAATGGACTAACTTCAACAAGATGTAAGCTTGCCTTATGCAAAACTTTGAAATGATTGAACACATTCAGGATATCATTACTTAAAGTTCCCCTTCCTGGACCCAGTTCAATAATGTGGATAGGTCTAGGTGATCCTGCTTTTTGCCATTCATTTATCAGCCAAACTGCGATCATTTCTCCAAACATTTGAGTTATTTCAGGTGAAGTAATGAAGTCTCCACTTTCACCAAGCATGTCTTTGTGCATATAATATCCTGCCATTGGATTCACTAAAACTTCCCTCATGTATTCAGCTACTGTGAGGGGCCCTTTTGCTTGAATGTGTTGTGTGATGTGTTTCGCTACATAATGCTCGTCATTGATTGCTTTTCGTTTTACAGTATAATAATTTCTAATTAGTTTAAATGTTTTTGGGTGTAATTTGGTCGATCTTAGTAATTGTTGAAACATTTTCAATTTATATATTGACATAATCTTGAACAAGTAAAAATAAGTCTATCAAGCACATTTCAAGTTGACGTTTATTTTTGTTTTTATTTTGGCATTTTATTTAAATAGTTTTCAGTGCTTTTGGTTTTATCACGTTTTTGTCTGGAATTGACGTGGGTATTTCCTATTGGTTTATATTTAAATTTGTTGTATTTGATTGGAGAAAAGCTGGCATTGTTGTTTATTTTGTACTGTCAATGTCTAGGCGGTCTTAGCAAATGACATTCGTAGTGACATTCGCAATGTCATTTGACGGACGCTAACCTCCTTCAAAAGATGTCAAATTGTCAAAATAGAATTAACCATGCATTTTTGAGACGTGTTTATTCAAAATATTGGCCAAAGATGTATCATAGTCATTATGAAAAATGTGGTATATAGCTGTATTCCGTTTTATAAGACGACGGATCATCCTTGGTCTCATATTCACGTTTTCATTCTGCTACTGTATTTTAAGCTATGTAGGAAAGGTAAATATACCATACATATGTGTTACGGGAGCTTTATACTTTAATATCCCTATTCCAGACGGATTTTCTTGACAGCGATGAAGTTGTACCGGTTCGTAGAACTCAACCTTTCATATGGAGAACATTACAGCAACATAATTCTACCAGTGATGGTGATATAAATTGTAGGAACTCTGTTCAAGGGAAAGTACTGATTGTGGATGATAGAGGTACGATTCGCTGTCCCCTATGATTGCACAATGATATTAATTGCTTTTCCAGGGTACATTTGCCCTAGAAATGAGGTTCTTCTAAATGGGTGCTGCAATAATGCTGCTTCAAATGTATACCAGTACTCCTGTGACACGTGTAAACCAAATAACTGTTGTGCAATATACGAGTATTGTATTTCATGCTGTTTGCATCCAGACAAGGTAATTTACATGAATTTGCAGGTATTGGGGGTAGTCCAATTGTATGATTTGCATGTGATAAGGGGCCTTTTCAAATTGAATTTTGAGTGTTGAATTCAACTTCTTCACATTGCCATCATGCATATTTGGACATTGCCATCAAACATTTTTTTAAGGATGAATTCATTTAGGCCTCTCATATAGTTGAAATGCTGTTTTCAGTATAGTTGGTAATTTTGAGAGCCACAAAACTCAATAAAGCTGACTCTTGGCAATCAACTTTATTTGAATCTATGCAAAGATTTTTTGGAATATTGTACTGAAACATCAGACTTCAACACTATTTTGAACTGTGTTTTGTATATCATCACGGTTAGTCTTATTCATATTATTTTTCTTTTCAGCGAGAAGTTCTGGAAAATGTCCTGGGAAAGGCAACTGAACAGAATAATGTGCTTTTTGCATCTGTCACAGATCATTTTGAGCTTTGTTTAGCAAAATGCCGTACCAACTCTCAAAGTGTTCAACATGAAAATTCTTACAAGGATCCCAAAGCAAAGCATTGCTATGGGGAATTGACTCCAGCTGTTGATAATATAGATAATGAAGTATAATTTTTTAACTATAACTGTGATTGAAAAGTGCTTATTTTTTATTGTTCTTCTGTTCTCTATATGAGTATAGTATCAACAAGTACAAAACTCAACCAATATTGACTATATTAGAAAAATAAGATATTGGTAAAGTCAAGTTGTGGCATTTTAAAGAAAACTTACCAGCTTTTACAGTTGGATATGTATTTACAGCCTGTTGACATGATATACCTTTGGCCCTTTTTTGCTGTCCCCCGAGTGTACCAAGACTCTACTCACATGATTATCTGTTTGTCTGTCAAACTTTCCTGTTCTTTTAAAGAACATGTTGACTAATGATACACATATAGCGTTTATATCAAATTGCAATTGTTCTAGGAAAATTTTGAGTAATATTACAATATTTTTGCCTTTCAGACTACTGCATATAGTACATTTTTGTTCAAAACTGTATACTTAATTTTAACATCATAACTGTTAAAGAGTGGTTTCTACATGCAGTCATATGGCTATAGATAATGATAACATGATGCAGACAAAATTAAAATAGATACAGGTTGTTTTTCTTCTAAAATTCAATGTAATTTTATTGAGGATATTACAGCCTGTATTTGCGAATATTTGGGATTAGTATTATTTCATTGGCTGTACTTTTTTATATGTTAAAAAGGAATTGCTACTGAGTAGTATTATGGTATTATTTAAGTGTAGTGTATATGTTCTATTTTATTTTTTAATGTTTATCCAGAACTTATTCATTTTTAGATGAATCAAATAAATATTGGAAACTACTTAATTTGTTTAAATACCAAGAATAACATTGGGTTTGAGAATTCTTGAACAACAACACTGAATCTTTGGATGACTGATTAAAAAAAAACAACAAAGAATATTTGAAGATGGAACATTTATCAACATAATCATATTCACCATCTTATGATGCACTTAAATGTATCATGAACAAATTCAGTAGTTTTTTTTATATCAAGAGAGTATTATATAAATATCCTCGTTGACAAAATGCAATATCTACTTGTATATTGCATAGTTAACTGATGTGCTTTCTTTGTCTCACAGACTTTTAAGAAAGAAGAATAGAAGAAAGGATCGAAGAAATTAATTGCTTTTATTGAAGAACTGGTTTTTTAAGACATGGCATGTACAGATCAAGAAAGTGAAATAAGTAAATGTAGATTAGGAAGCCACATATCCTCCATCAATAGGTAAACAAGTGCCTGTAATCATACTGGCCTTGTCACTCAACAAATATGTCACTGCATCCACTACTTCGTGTACTTCTCCAAACCTGAAAAAGTTACCATGTTTAGTTTCAATAGACTTATAAAGTGTCAATAAAAATGAACAGATTCAATGACTGAACTCACCAGGAAGGAACCAGCCGGCGCAAAATGGCCTTTTTTTTTGAAAGCTTGGCAAAAATTCTAATACCCAAAGTATTGGAACTGAATAAAAATTATTTCCCATTTTAAAGTCAATACGTTAAATAATGAGTCGGACATGGTATCAGATCTTTACTTACACTACCTTCATCATTGCAGGCTATTAAACTTTAAGTTTTTGGGGTATCATTTAACTCTACTTCTAACGGCAAAATTGGACGTTCAGCATCATCCGTTGCTGTGTTGAAAATATTTGAACATCTTGACAAGGATCATAATTAAGAGTGTATGAACCTTCATTTGATGCAGTAGAAAACTGACATTGTTGTTGTTTTTATGCACTCTGTTAGCTTCAATTCCTTATATGTATTGGTATTATTCAAAGAGGTTTCAACAAGGTTCCGCCCTTTGCCCCAATTGGAATAAACTAACCGCGAAGTACCGTCAGATAAAATCTATTTTCAGTTTTTGCTAACTTTTGCAAAGTATTGAGAAATATCACCTTATATATTGATGACATATCGTTGTAGGTGGTCGGAAATGATGGTTAAGGTTTTTTGAATTCATCCTTTGAGTGGTCTTACAATACCCTTAAAAAATGCTTTCTTGAAACAAACTTATCTCTGATGCCCTCATAGTGACTAACAGACCTCTGAGTCAGATCAGAAAAACCTAAATGAGATGCGGTTGGGCTCAACTGCTTGGCTTCTTTTGAAAATGACCTTGAAATGATCTTCAAATGCCTTCATAGTGACAAACTAAACCCAGATTTGAAATCAGCGACCCAAAGAATCGTGTAGTACTGAAAATCGTATAAATGCCGTAGATATTGCATTTTTGCTTTTCTGTATTCTAGACCGCTGTGCGACGGATCAAAATGGGGCATGGGACTTCATTAGGGATTGTGTCACTTTCTGCATAAAATCGTTGACAAAAACTAGAACGTTTCTGGTTTGAACTTGTTTGTACAATTTCCATGAGTACAACAGTGAGATTGTAAAATTGTACAGTAGACCTTGAAATTAATGCAAGAGGTCATTAGTGGTAAATCTCTATTAGGCTGACCAAGTGTATAAGTACGAGTAGTAAAACCTTTTCAAATCATGAGAATCTTCGACGCACGATGATTCGCAAAGTGGATAATCTTTTGACAAAATACACCGAAATGTATCACGAGAAGATTTGGTACATCACAAGTGTCATCTATAAGATTTACTGGTATTCAACGCATAAAACAAATGAGAAAATGAGGAAGATTCCAAGCTTCTAAGACAGAAATTAAATTGAAATTCATGTAGTCCGGGAAGTTAGAGACGAGCAATTAGCTTAAGGCCGATTTTTTGTCGCATGTCACGGGCTGTGCTGCAAGAAGCGTTGAACCGTTTTGTTGAAACCAACTGTTTAAAGACCATGGGGTTGGATTTCAGGCAGCAAATAGGTATTGTGAAGTAATAACGGGCCAAATACCACTCGACAGAATGGATCACATTGATCGCACTAATAGACATTTGAAAAAAAAATGAATTCCAAAAACTGAATATTTCAATGATACTTCTTTTCTTAGATAATGAAGAAAACTCGATGAAGTTGTTTTGACTTTTTTTTAGTAAAGAAACACTGTTATTTAAAAATATTTCCAAAATGCCGCAAGGTGGGTGGACATACTCTGATCTTCAATAAAAATCTTCGAGCAGTGCCTTGTGATGGCGTGTCAAATAATTAGAGTATCTGTTGGCAGGTATCTCGAATATAGTCAGGAAGTACGTATTTTGTTAGGCACTTCGAATAGTTCGGCTACTTTAATGGGTGGGAATGTCAGATTACTTCGACTTCGCTAATCAACATGCACACCTTTACACACCTATTCATGAATACTACGCAAGTAGGTATTTCAACTGGGTACACAATATTCTGACCAGTATTTCGAATAGTTCAAGTACTTCAGCCTTCTATATTTCTACATCATCCAATAGCTTTCCTTTGGAACTTTTTTATATAAGGCTTATATCACCTTTTAAATAGTTTTCGAGCTATTGCTATTGATCCCAAGAAAAAAAAACACATTTAGACTTAAAATCAGATCGTTCATGAAAAAAATGACATTTTTTTTTCGCACTCATCTTAACTCAAGTCATTCATGATGAAATTGTAATACATTCCAAGTAGTTGTGTTGATTCCCAGATGTTAGATCTCAAGTCTACAACTACGTTATTTCAGCAACTTGGGTAACCTCTTTTACTAGAGAAAGTAAATTTAACAACTACGAAAAATTTGAGGTACCAACATGACGGCGTCCCAACAGTTGGATAGGAAGTGGCGGGCCGATCAATTGGCCAGCGAGTTCTCCCGATCTGACGCCACTCGACTTCTTTCTCTGTGGGCATGTAAACGGAGAGGCTCACCTGGAGAAACCTACAAAACCCGACGAGATGAAACATCGTATAAGTGAGTCGTTTTAACAGGATAGCTAGACAAACCCTTTTAGACGTGCAAGATAATTTCAACAGGCGTCTAACCTTGTGCCAAGGTAATATATTCGAACAATTTATTAACGATTGATTGCCTTAGACTGAGATTATTTTTGTTGTGTTAATAAAACCTGTTTTAATAGAAGATTTGTTTTCATGTATAAATACAAGATTTATTTGTCTTTTCTTGAAATTAATAGCAATAACTGAATGTATCTGTATAAATAGAAAGAAATTTCAGCACTTTTTCCAGATCAGCTTAAAATCGATTTTTGATATCTTTTCCGGTTTGCTCATAACACTATTTTCCATTTTCGTTGGGACGTTCTGTATATATTTATCGATTTTTTATCCATACCTTCTTAGTGGAATCTTCTCCAACATCGGATTTGCAACTTTGGGATCCGACCATCCCAATCTTCCCATATCAGTCATGATAACCGTGGGGTTGACAGAATTGACCCTGATATTTTTAGGTCCATACTCTAACGCAGCAGCCCTTGTGAAGGCGTCCACTGCACCTTTTGAAGCACAATAAACGGTGTGGTTATTCAAACCTACTAAAGATGCTTGAGATGACACATTGACTATAGACCCTGAGGCATTCCTTGCCACCAAGTCTTGGATCACGACCTGAGTTACATTTATTAGAGCCTTCACGTTTATATCGAATAACCTGAAATAATAGGAAACGTAAGTCCATCGAGATAGGAAGTTTCTTCGGTAGAAATCCTACCTATCAACATCTTGTTCTTCCACTTCAGTTAATGGCCCTAAAATGGCTAATCCAGCGTTGTTCACCAAAAGATCTATGGGACCAACATTTGCCAGACCTGTCTTGGTTTTATTCCAGTTGGACAAATCCAGTGCAATTGTTTCAATTGAAGGAACTTCATTTTTCAAGGACACTAAAAAGTAAGAAATATTATTTTTGTGCCATCGTCTACATATTTACAGGTAGAAGCGGGCCAGTTTGAGGCTGCCGTAATGGTTACTGCATATCCCAGACAGAGGATACACCAGAACACGGCCATAGACCCCTGAAAACATTTACCTTCTGAGCACCATGACGGTTTCCCTGTCCCTTCAATGATCAATTACAGCAAACACCTTCATGAGGATCTCTATCTCAAAGCAACTCGAGAAAATGCATGTTATGATAGCATGAAAGTAGGTCTCCGAATTTCTGCAGACTTACCTAACGCGTCTTTATTCCTAGCTACAGCTATTACTTTGGCTCCGCATTTTGCTAGTTGCTTGACTATCTCGCGACCGATACCTAACAGAAATACAACATTATGTACAAAAGGAAAATACTTTTTAAAAATAATAATAATTCCTAAAACACATTCAATAAAATCGCGTGTTAGTGAAGACTTTTATATGCCACCCTATAGAACTCGGATTACGTGTAAGTTCCCAAATATACTTCTTCTTGTGGTGCCTTATTCATAAAAGGTTGGCTACAATTTATTCGGCAAATCGCTCTTCGCGATTCTTAAAAATAAATGTAAATTTAAGCCGATTCAGTATCTTACATTCCTGAGACAAGAACATTGTCTTCTGCCCGGACACTTTCTTCCTGCAACCTTACCCTTCCATGAATAATCTCAAATATTCGGACCTTGTGCCTTGATATATCTGTATAACAATCCGTAGTATTTCCCGGTCCACACCCATTCTTCTGAATATCACAAAATTGATAATCCAGAAACTACACTCGGCCAAATTTCCCAGTACAATTTTTCGATCGCCCAGGGCGGGTAACGCGTGTCGCAGTTTATAGCGTCAAACGGCGACAAATCGATGCCTACTCCGTACAGGTTCGGACTTATGAATTCTTTAAAATAATCAATTTTCGATAGTCCCGAACAGTCATATACAGGAGATCCCAAAAGTCATGGAGCAAAGGGAAGGAGGTGATAAAAGGGAGGTCATTTGCAATCAGAAAAATTATATAAGTCCTTATCCGATTGTAATCTGTTTTTGAGTTATAGCCATTTTTAAGAATTTGTGGAAAATCGCTACTTTTGAGACTACAATTTTTCCGGAAGTTGTCTTCTGTAATTTTCCAATAAGATTTACAGGAGATTTTCTCAAATGATGTGTCGCTAAAAAATGCTATGAGCGAAAATTTAGCCCAGTTAATTTAGGTACAACAATCGGCTAATCTGCAATTTTGTCTGCTGGCCTGCACAAAAAATTAGTAGGCGGATAAAGTCTTCATATAGAAAAACTTTTCGATGCTATGGCCTTTCAAAACACTTATACATAATCAAATATCCTAAGCACTTTCTGCGCAAAGTAGACAAAATGCTGCAGGCTACCTTAATCGAAAAAATGGCCCATTTTTTTAAACATAACCCTTTAACTGCCATTATTTATCCTCTTCTCTTCAAATAGGATGCGCAAACGCTTTTATGTAACAATGAATCTTCAAACACGAATAAATTCTAGGTCTAATCATTTTAAGATGTGGCGGCCTTGGTATTATTTTGGGTGTTAAAAGCGTTACTGAAACAGTGCAGCATTACCTAATCCTGTAATCCCAATTACCAGCCTTATGTAATTCAAATAGATACAATATTTCTGGTATTCTAATCGTCCAATTATTTGGCCATGCCCTAGCCCAGCCCATAAGTGGACTCGGAATCTGTGTTGGAAGCGTTCCTGCCTTATCATTCGTGGATTCTCTAGAGCCCACTGATGTAAGTAAAGAATGTTATAAAGGACGCTGGGCAAAATGCACAGTACATTTTCCTCGGCGTACATGAAAGAAATATGGTGGAATTTGTAGACCTATGCTACGAGGGAAGTTTTGCATATAGAAACAGTAGGCCGCGCGGACCGAACGTCAGTACTGAATCGGAACCTCACTCTTTAGTAAACTTAAATTCAAAGTTTTACAACAATACGTGCAGTGTTCTTTCTCACTACAGAGAATTTTTAAGTGACACCAAGTCATTAGAAAAATGTAACTCAACCGAGGACATTTTCGCGCCATAATTTATTACAACTTTCAGAGACAGAGATCGCAACAAGAATGCCTTGCTGAGTTACTGTCTGTTTTCGGCCACGAAGCGCCACATCAGTCGACAATTTCCTGTTGGTATGGAGAATTCAAACGTAGACGGGTGAGTCTTAGCGACGATTCCAGGGTGGGTGCACCAAAAACGGCAGTCACCCAGGAAAACGTCGATGCTGTGCGCAAACTGATCATTGAAGATAGACATGTGACATATCGCGAGATTGAGGCGTCCTTGAAGATCTCAAAGACCTCAATTCCAAAAAATTTACATGAAGAATTAGGAGTAAGACAATTAGTTTCTCGTTATATACCCCACCTGTTGACTGAAGAGCAGAAAGCAGCCAGGGTTAGTTGGTGTCAAAAAACGCTTGACCGTTGCAATTCCAGCATTGTTAGTGGTGATGAATTGTGGATTTACTGTTATGAACCAGAAAATAAACGACAGTCGGCTGTTTGGGTGTTCCAAGGTGAAGAAAAGCCAACAACAGTCATCCGTTCTCGAAGTGTTTCGAAAAAGATGGTCGCGACATTTGTGTCAAAAGCGGGTCATCTTGCAACAATTCCTCTTAATGAGCAAAGAACTATTACTGCGGATTGGTATACTACCATTTGTTTGCCAAAAGTCATCACCGAGCTTCGAAAAATCAACCCCAAAAGAAGAATCATCCTCCACCAAGACAATGCAAGCTCGCACACAGCACAAAGAACAAGGGAGTATTTAACGGAAGAAAACGTGGAATTATTGGACCATCCTCCATATAGTCCCGATCTAAGTCCTAACGACTTCTTTACTTTCCCTAAAATTAAAAACAGACTGCGTGGTCAAAGGTTCCAGTCACCAGAAGAAGCAGTTGACGCATTCAAAAATGCTGAAATGAGTTCTTACATGACGTGCCTACTGTTATTAGTCCTAAATGTGTTACCGCTATAAAATCAGCTTACCTGTTAAACTAAATTAGGGTTATACAGGGTGATTTCGACAAACGACACGTGGCATAGCTTTGCGCAAAATCAGTGGACTACAGGGTGATTCTGCGCATACAAGGGTTGACCCCTTTAAACAGGAAAAAAATTGCAGAACCCAAGCGAAGAGATGTGCCACCAAAAAACCCATATATGTTGAATAGACCTTATAGGAGTTCAGCATGAGATAGCTCAAAGCGCCGATCAAGAAAAGAAGACAGCCAACCATAGACAGCTGTTTCGTGCTTCTTAGCTACTCATCAGCATGGTATAGGCTTGGTCTCTTATCTCTGGAGAACAAACGTCACAAGATCCTCTATACCGGAGGTACGGTTTCTCAGCATGAGATAGCGTGAAGCACCAGAATCGAACCATTGTAAATCGCGCACCGCTGCTATTAGTCGGAACCGTCGAAGTGCCCGTTTAATTGAGATGCCTTCGTCCGTGCGACCAAGAAAAGAAGACAGTCAACCATGGACAGCTGTTTCGTGCTTCTTAGCTACACATCAGCATGGTATAGGCTTGGTCTCTTATCTCTGGACGACGTTTCAATGCTTAAAACAAAAAAAAATCGCAGAACCCAAACGAAGAACTGTGCCAACAAAAAACTTATATCTGTTGTAGAGACCTCATAGGAGTACATCTTTATAGCATAGCTTGGCGAAAGATCAGGGGACTACAGGGTGATTCTGCGCATACAAGGGTTGATCCCTTAAAACAGAAAAAAATGCAGGACCCAAACGAAGAATTATGCCACCAACAAACTCATATATGTTATATAGACCTCATAGGAGTATATCTATATGGCACAGGTTTGGGAAGAATCAGGGGACGACAGGTTGATTCTGCGCATACAAGGCTTCACTGCTTTAAACAAAAAAAAATCGCAGAACACAAACGAAGAATTGTGCCACCAACATATCCACATATGTTGCAGAGACTTCATAGGAGTACATCCTTATGGCATAACTTTGCGAAAAATCAGGGGCTTCAGGGTGATTCTGTGCACACAAGCTTCACTGCCTAAAACAGAAAGATATGCCATCAGGATGTACTCCTATGAAGCCTCTACAATATATATGAGTCTGTTGGTGGCACAATTCTTAGTTTGGGTTTTGCGTTTTTTATAGTTTTATATGTACTCACGACACAAACGTGTCGTTTGTCGAAATCACCCTTTATAACCATAATTTAGTGTAACAGTTATGCGGTATTTACAGCGGTAGTACAATTAGGTCTAATAGCAGTAGGAGCTTCATATAAGAAATCATTTTTGCTATTTTTCCCATGAAGATAGCACACTACTGGCTGTTCTCGTTTTGTCGTTCACTTCACCACTGGTAATATCGAATTTTGCTATATTATCTAAAATAATTTGTTTAAAAGCCTTATTTAACATAAAGCAACCCTCAGGAGCTGAAAATACCAGTTTTCTAGCATATCAGCGATTTGAGCTCACTACTGAACTGGTCGACTGTAGTTTCTAGCATATCAGCAATTTGAGCTCACTACTGAACTGGTCGACTGTAGTTTCGTCATAGCCTAAGTTCAGGGACGCTTTGTCAGAAATATTTATTATAAGTCTTCGCTGAAGTATAATGAAAAAACTGCTGACTATTATATCTTGGTATTGTTATAAGTTAATTATATCTACGATCTAGTGCTGGTATTGTGCTACCTCTCGCATTCCGAGTTAACAAAAAATGGTTAGGAAGCAACATGTGCTTAGGCTCTAAAATTATTTTATGGAAGTGAATACTAACCTTGACTAGCACCTGTGACTAGAGCTCGTTTACCGTGGAATGATATTTCCATTTTTTAGCAAGAAAGTCTAAGAAGAAAATGTCCTTTTTGAAACAGCAACTGAATCTACCGACACTCTTTTACAATGGACTGTTAATGGTTTGAACTTCAGGATCAACCAAGCAAGGTCACGTGATAAAATACTGTTGCTAATATTATTGACTATGCACAGAGTCGGACTATCGTCATTGATTGAGGTATTTTCATATGGTGCGCCATCTACGGCGGAGAGGAGAAACATAACTGACAAATTCTCATAGGAGAATTATTTGGACGCCAAAATACAGTATCAGGTTGGCTATCTTTAGGGAAAATACGTTACTCAATGCTATTATACAAGGTGCTTCACTGGGAGAAGGGATATTTCAACTGTGGATGTTTATGCTAGAAATAGATAGAACCACCACGTTGTCATACTTCGTTTTTGTAAGTCATGTCGAATGAAACAAAATTCAATCAAAAAGGTCTTGTCATGAAACCCATGTTATCTAATGAGCTAAATAGCCGTTGTCAGGTAGATTTGATAGACATACAAACAAATCCAGACGGCAATTTTAAATTCATTTCAGGTCACCAGGATCACCTGACGAAGTTCGTACAGTACGTCGTTTACAAAGTAAGACTGCTGAGGAAGTATCAAAGGTACTGCTGGATATATTTTGCATATTCAGATCACCACCTATATTGCAACCTGATAATGATCGGGAGTTCGTTAACCGAGTTGTAGGAAATTTGACAGAAATGTTTCCAGATCTAAAGATTGTGCATGAGAAGCCGCGCCATAGCCAGTCACAAGGTGACGCAGAACGTGCCAGTCAAGGAGCCGTATTCATAAAAGAGAAGCATATCCTACGAAGCATAAGGTAAAAGTATAAGGTCTTGCTTGTTTTCATATTCATAACGATTACCTTATACTCGCGAGGATATCATCCAAGAAGAAGTACGAGGTTGACTGGTATTTGTATCTTGAGTGACATGTCCTGACTTGTTCCAGTAGTTGACGTGGGAGTTCGTTCACTCAGCATCAGTGACAGTTGTACTCCAGAGCTTACACAGACCGTTCCGTATTTTTACTGGATACAGTTTTTTATCAAATTAATAAGCATGTCATCCTCAAGTGATGAGGCAACTATAGAAAATAATGGCAAAGACCTGCAGTTCATCGCAGATGAAATTGCCATTGCTCCCATTATTTTGCAAGTCACAAGTTCCAAAAATAAAAATGAGAAAGGACGATGCCTTGAAGAAGATGTTGAAAAAATACGAATCAACATTCGGTAAACCATTAGATACTAAAGGCTTATTAAAAAAAATCAACAACATGAAATCAAGATTGAAGAAAAAACAGATCTAAAAAAAACTAAATTGTTAGATTGGGAAAGAAAGTTGCTGAAAAGCTATGGAAGGTGACTGTAATCCTACGATTGGGAAAATTAGAGGTGCCATTCAGGTTGGTGAGCAAACAATTAGTATTACAGCGCCAGCAATTCAGAAGACATTGCCACCAAAAAGAAAATTAGCAACAGAGAAATACGAAACTGAGGAAACCAAAGAGTTAACTACAAAAGAACTGCATCGTCTAGTGCTATTACAGAAGTACCAAACAAGTATTTTACAACAAGAGTATTATAAAAGGAAATTAGAAATGATGCAGCGTCAGAAGCCACCTGTAACTTATGATGTTCACGAAAATAAAACTGATTATAACTTATAAATACACTTTAATCAGTAAAACTATTTATTATAATACTCAAGTTTCTTCTTATTTGTTGACCTAGTTGGCGGAGAGGAGGTTTGTCATTCTCATGATTTCCTTCAACTTCATCTGGGTCTTGTTCAACGAACTCAAAGTCAGGATCGCCCAAGCTCTTCGCAACATTATGGAGTACAATACAAGCAATAATTATTTTCGACACATTTTCCAACTTCCAAGTCATACGGCATGGATCAATAAATATAACCGTCATCGCCAAGTAGTACAACATTTGCTTTATTTATTAGTTGTGATATAGTCTGTGAATTTCTCCATATTCTGGAATCATGCACTGATCCAGGCCTACTGACATCAACTCTTGTGAACATCTCTCTGGCATCACAAGTGGCTTGCACATTCAAAGTAGGTTTCCCTTTTCGGTTGATATACTCATCTCCATGGCGATTTGGTTTCAGGATCCCTATATGTGTACAATCAATTACACCAATTGCTGTCGGAAATTTATACATGCTTTGCCATATCCGCTTTGGCCTCCATCAGTTCATGGTTGGTAGTTGGAAACTTGATCCATTCATTCGACTGTGCAACTATGCTGTTCACAACTCTATCCACAGTCCGAGATACCGTTGCTTGAATAAGATCAAGTTCCTGACCAATACCTTGTTGATATCCAGGGTCACCGAGAAAGCGTAGACATATCTTCATTTTATAAACACATTAAAGTGCTCCTCCTTAAGTTGCCTCATTCTCAACAAAAAATCTGTCCGCATGCCATTGTACATTTGCTTCGACTAGCCGAAATAATTTTTTGAAGTCACGACCTAGTGAAGGTAAACGAGGTTTGTACGTTTTAACATCTCTAACATCCACAATTTCCGCCATCATCGGTTGACCACGTTTCGTTACGAAGTTGAGTCTGCTACTGACCAGACTCAGCATTTTTGAAGGATATTCTTCCTAAGTATAAGGTGAAGATTATGAATATCCTTTTACTTATGTCACTGCTTTGAAGGATATGCTTATACTCAGAAAGCAAAAGCATTTACTTCAAATTATTATAAATACAATCTGGAGAATTTCCTTCAAAATTTGCAAGTACAAGGATATCCTTTGTTTTATGAATACGGCTCAAGATGTCGAAAAAATCCTCATGGTGTCGGTGACCGATGACAATTGTCAAAAAAGGTCTGAAGGACTAAGGCCGTATCGTCAGTCGTTCCTACAATTTTAGGATGCCTTTATGGCCTCCTTGATTTCCATAGTCGTTCCTTTCCTTCAGAAAGGCTGGGATATTTCTAGATTTCTAATATTCCGTGTCAGCGTCAGCGCTCTCCTATTGTCAAGCTATGTTTCCTTCTTGAATTGTAGGAACTTTCAGGTTATATAACAGATGATATAAATCAAAAGCATGAACAATTTGATGCAAATAGATTTGTAACATAACCTCAAAATAGAGCGCTGACGCGGAAGAGTAGGAACTATGAAAAACAAGGAGGCCTTAAAGGCGTCCTTCAATTGTAGGAACGACTGACGATACGGCCCTAAGATTCGTTCAATTAATGAAAAATAGATCATATCGTGATGGAATTAAAAGATCGCCGTACCAAACAATGTTTGGTTGTGATGTTAAAGTTGGCTTAAAATCATCAGTTATTCTGCCTCACGAAGCAATCGACAAGATCAAGAATAACAGTAGCGAGGTAAATAAGACAGAAATCGAATCCAATGGAAATGAAATTACAGAAAAAGCAGTTTGCCAGCTTTGTGACCAAAAAGGAGATAAAAAGTGTGCAAAAAGAAACAGAACATTAATAATAGGAAATATGCGGCAGTTTCAACAGGCTAATAAAATGACAGCTTCGTCAAATGAAAAGTTTCCTCCTTGCAAGGTAGGTTATACTGTCCGTCGTCCGTCTCAAAATTACTGACGTTGATAAAGTTAGAGTAGACTTCCCAAATGTTTTAATGGTGGTACTTGAATGTACTGAGGATGGTTTATTTAAGTTGGGAAACCAGTTTGGCACAATGCCCTAATTTCTTCCTAGGAATCAATTCAGTATGTGTGAATCAAAATGTTTCGCCCTAAAGCAAATCACTGCGCCAAATAGCCAGTGCCTAATCTTCATCTGATGGACAAGGCTATAAAAGATGCCACTGTACAACCAAGTGTGGTAGTAAAAAGTGTATTTGTAAAGCTGCTGGTATTTTGTGTAATTCTAAATGTTATTCAAGATTAATTTGTTCAAATAAGTAGATGACCGATCGTCCCAGTTTTTTTCATATCATTGGGTATGTAACCATCTACTTACTTTTTCAATAATTTGTATTAATTAAATTGTTATACCCGCACGAAATATTTAAAAATTGTAAAGTTCAGTTACAGTTAAGGAAGAAAATGTTTAACATGTTATATTGCTGATAGTTTAGTTGCAGTTATGACAAATAATTATGATTAAACTTTTGTACGGTTATACCCACAAGAAATATTTTAAAATTGTAAAGTTCAGTTACTTACAGTTACAAATAAAAATTATGTCTTTAATTGTTATACCCACATCAAATATGTTAAAATTGTTGCAGATATGAAAAAAATGTTACTAGAATAAGTTTTTTGTCATTATTCCGGTTACTTACCTGTGATGACAATGCCAAGATATGGCTCACTTATGTTTAAGAAATTTATTACCACAAAGGCCTAAGGCCTAAACACACATTGGGTACCGTGGGGCTATAGAGGGATACAGGGGAAAGGGGGAACGCCACACGGACTCTGGCGAGGGAACACGTGTGCATGCAACATGCACACATTCTGGCTCCGCCTATGAGAACCGCCGGGTGGTACCGCCGCGTTCGACAGTCAGAGACCGTCTACCACCTACGGACAATCACAACATCCATAGCCAAGAGAAAAATGTCTCTTGGAACGGAATTCGAACCCGCACAGCGCACGGCGACTGATCAGGAGACCGATGAGTCTACTACTGCGGCCACCGCTGCTGCCTAACAGACATTATATTTTCTTCAAAAATACCCATCTAAACATGCTTGTAACGAATGCAACCGGCTAATACTAGGTTTTGCCATGAATGTATAGGTTACACCTAAGATTAACCAACTGCCAGTGGCTACACCTAGTTCTAACCGGCTAAGCCTAGTTGTCACCGCATTTTAGGTTTTGGCCGTAACAGATACATCTCTGCCATCTAAGGATTGGTCGAAGAAACACAAAGTTTAAAGCTCAGCAGTATGTCGCACCAAAGGGCTTCAACCACTTTGTAAATTGTTAACGTCACATGTCCCTATTTTCAACAGCCTGTTTGAAGGCGTACTCTAAATAGTTTGCGTCTGCTTGTTACATGGTGTGTATAGAGATAAAGAGAGAGAGAAAACTTCATTCGTAGCTTGTTAGCAAATGAAAATAGTTCTAAAATTGTACGTGAATATTCCACTATTATGGAAAAATGAAGCGGGTGATTACTTGTTTTCTCATCACTTTGTCACTTTTGCGTTTCTTGAAAACCCAAATTGCTGCGCTTCATCCATCTATAAAAGTGGAATATTCACATACCATTTCAGAGTTGTTCTAATATTTGTTCACAAGATACGACTGATGAAAAATGTGCAAATGACAAAGAAATTGAAAACATTGTTTTTAAGTCATTTCTATACACACTATGAAATAATCAGGATTTAGAATACTGCTCCAAACAGGCAGTTGAAAAAAGGGTCATGCGACTTTCAAATGGCACTTGACTACAGCAAAGTTTTTCTGTTGGACGGATTTCTAAAAGTAATTTTAAGCAACATTAGTGTGTTATATAAGTGCCTTCAAATTGTGGGTCCGGTTCTGTGCACTTCATTATCGCATTGTTTAGAAAAAGACGATGAATTGTATAATGGTCATAGTGATTTATTTTCTGTGATCACATCCATATCAGTGGCAATAAAATTTGGTTTATCTTTTTATTGTGTTCAAAATATTTGAACGGTATTATTTAATATTGTATTATAGCCGATTGGATTAAGTATTAAATATTACATGATATGTTTTGCCTTTTTGGTGATTACTTCGAAAATCATAATGATTTTTACACCCTTTGGTCGATATCTATGTTGTTGTAATCAAATAAATACTTTGTAATAATAAACATTTAAACAAAAAGTGGGGAATCGTTTGGTAGTTTATCAAGGCAAGGTAACTCATATTTGCTTAATTTCTAAATCATATAAGATGTCCAAAAATAATCTTTCATAAAGCATAGCGAATACAATATAGTTGTGCTAAAATTGTTATTGTTCAAAGATTACATTGTCCCAAAATTTTCTGAGATGATTAAGCAAGTCTACGATGTTTGAAAATGAGGTTTCACTGTTTTTCTTCAAATATTGTCCCTTACCAAAGTTTCTGAAAAATGATCAGAGAATCTCCAAAACGGAAGCGCTGGTATTTTTTATTTCTAGTATATTATAGGCCACTCAATGGTCATTCAAATATCTACAGAATGATATACCAAGAGCTTTTTTGAATTACCACGTATTGGTGGTTAAAATACTTGAATACTAGAATGATTGAAATAATGTCACGTACGGCTTACGGAGCTCAAGCCATTTTTTTCTAAACTAACCTGTTTCTGTAGCAAATGTAAACTAAAAAATACGTTAAGGCTCCGCATTTAATTGGGAATGCAATGCAAATCTCTGTGTGTCACAATGTCGTCACAGCATTCAATCACCATTCATTGATACAAATCGTAGACCACACATCCCCTGCATACAAATAGTGATGAGTTAGGAAGCTCCGAAGTTTCATTGGCATGGCTTAGGGATTGCAAGAAGCTCAAAAAGTGTTAGTTATTTTTTCACGAAGTTGTGGAATTGCAATACTATATCATATATTGCATGATTCAACAAACATAACTATAACTATGACAATCGTCACTATCCACTGTATTTTATACGTATATTGGGTGTTTTCGACCCTCACCATTGGGATTTCGGAAACGGTAAGAGCTATGGAGTCGGTTAAATAGAAGAAAAGTTGCGTATTTAGGTAATTAACAAAATTCCGCTTAGAAAGTTTCAAAATTCAAAGTACTTCCAGAGAGAAACGGAAAAAACCCGAATTTTCTCAAAATCGTTTTCGTTTTTTCCTGACTGGTGGGACTTGAAAATATATTGCGCATAAACATTGATACTTTTTATCTTCTACAAGATGACATAATCAGAGATTCAATATGACGTTTCGTTTATTGTCCTCCAGCATGATTTGACAGTGCCAAACCATAGTTATTTCAAAAAAACTGAATTTAATAGGTAGGCCTTGAAGCTATCAGATATAGTCATTTGTTTCGTATACCAGATTTATCACAAAATCATTTTTATTTTCTTCGTGACTTTATTTGAGGTGCGATTACGAAATAAATTGTATATTGTCATTGCCACTTTGTTCCTGTTCAAATTTTCAATACGAGGTCTTCTTTCGACTTTGGTTTGGGTGACATAAGTAAATGTATTATATTTATAACTAAATGTAGAATCGAAAATTGTGTTGGATTGCACAAAACTTCAATAGGGAGTCCCTAAGAAAAAACAATGTTGAGGATGGAGATTGAAAGCAGAAACGTCTAATTGAGAATCTGGCTACGTCATCTTGTAGAGGAGAAACAGTGGTAATGCTAATATGGGATTTATGTTGAAATCCCATTTCAAATAAAACCACGAAATAAGGGCCGTATCGTCAGTCGCTCCTACAATTTATGGCCTCCTTGATTTTCATAGTCTTTTCGCTCCTTCAGAAAGGCTGAGTATTTGTAGATTTCTATTGTTCCGTGTCAGCATCAGCGCTCTCCTATTATGAGGTTATGTTTTCTTTTTGAATTGTAGGATATGTCAGGCTGATAACACAGATGACATAAATAAAAAGCATGAACAATTTGATGCAAATAGATATTTGTGACATAACCTCAAAATAGACCGCTGACATGGAACAGTAGAAAACTATGAGAAACAAGGCGGCCATACCTACCATAGCCTACAATAAATTGTAGGAACGTCTGACGATACGGCCTTAAACAACGATTTATCAATAAACCCGGTATGCAAAACAAACAATACCTAACGGTGGTATCGTCAGTCGTTCCTACAATTTACTGTAGGACGCCTTTATGGCATTCTTGATTTTAATAGTTTTCTACTGTTACTTGTCAGCCCTCTATTGTGAGGTTGTCTTACAAATATCTATTTGCAACAAACTGTTCGTCCTTTTGATTTATATCATCTGTTATATCAGCCTGAAATTTCCTACAATTCAAGAAGAAAAATCTAGAAAGAGCCTAGGCTGCCTGAACTAGAGAAAAGACTATGAAAATCAAGGCGTCCTACAATTTGTTCTGACGATACGGCCCTAAGAAATTCTATTTTTTGAAATAACTAAGGTTTGGTAATGTCCATGTATGACATATTATATATTTTTGGAATCGGAATTAAATTGGACTTTTGTACATTCAAATGGACTTTTCAGACCTAAATTCAGTGATTGTTTCCTTTGTTGGCATGCATTTGTTGTCGGAACGAAAATTATAACGAAATGAGCTATGGTAAAACCTGACTACAAAATGACGAAACATCATATTGAAGTTCTAATCATATCATCTTGTAGAGGAGAAAAAGTGGCAATAGTAATGTAGAATTTATTTTAAAATCCCACTACAAATTAATAAACTCAGGAAAACGATTTTGGGGAATTCCGGTTTTTACATCTCGCTCTGGAAGTAGGTACTTTAAATTTCAAAACTTTTTAAGTGGCATCTTGTTAGTTACCTAAATTCGCAGCTCTGACCCTATTTAAGTCATTTCATGTCTCTTACCGTTTCGAGATCCCAATGGTAATCAAATTTGAAACACCTGGTATATTTTCTTGTATCTACATATCTGCTAACTCGCAGATATGACTTTTTCGTGGATGATGACAAGATCTGTAAGACAATACAATACCTATATGTCTATTTACCTATCTGTCTATATATCTATCTATCTGTCAAGATGCCAACGGCCCCGAGCGCGTATTGGATTCACCCTGCTGCCTCCACAAGCAGGATCACTTGTCCAAGGCAGTGAATGTCAGCAAAGCGATAAGGCTCAGTAACCACCTCGGTAAAACTTCTACCCTACCATTAGATACCGGCAGAGTTATTACGTAAAAAACCTATTCAATGTCAAAAAACGATAAAATATATATGTATTTGTTGACTATTCCCTATTTCACGAGTATCCATCACGCTTTGACGTCTACTGAGATGAACAGCTGATCAGCAAGTGACATTTTTGTGTTAGTGTGCAAGGTTGGCTATAATGAGTCGAGTGTAAATCTAGCAAAAATTTGTTTGTAGTGTTTTGTTTTATTGTATGCAAATGAACTTTTCTAAATAAAAGAGCTTTTAGTAAGTACAAAATGAATCTGTGACATACAAAAGAAAACAAAAGAAAATATGACTCTGGCCACCTGGCATTAACGGATCCTTTGCCGATATGGGGAATTTTTTGTACCGTGATGGATACTCGTGAAATAGGGTAAAAGTAGGCTAGTGTGCGAATACTTCAGTCCGCGCTTGCTACAAGTGAGCATGAAGTGAACGACAGCTAGTTTCAAGTTGAAGTCTTGTAGGAAAACCTATATAATGTTAAAAAAAACTGACATAATGTCAAAAAAGCCACGTAATGTCACTTTTAGTGATACCCCTGTAGTGCTGGAAATTTCGTATATACCTTGTTTCCTCCAATTTTCTGGACTGAATTGACTGCCTACTAGGATCTCTGAAATGTTTGCGATGTTGATGTGGATAAATTACCGCTGGTACTTGATCACCTTGGATAATTAAAGAGCATAATTATGCTGGCTATTATCTTGACCACCATAATATAAACATTGACTGGACTCTGAAAATGGTACTTATGGCAGCAACCATGACGATGAAAGTGCTTGGGAGGAACTAATCAACCACAGGGCCAACGAAACCAGTTGTCCTCTTTAGGACACTGTTCTGAGGACGTGTAATAACGAATAGTACTTGATGCTGAATCATATCCACAGCACTCCTATTTACCAGTCTTCTTCACTTCAATCTGTGTAGATGTTGGTTTGCTGCTCAATAGCATCAAGAGCAACCGTGAAGGCACTTTCTCTCATGATTGAATGGCTCACTCTATAAATCTATCAAGACCCTAGTTGATTTCTGGGTATCTCGATATCGGAATTGGTAATCTTGGTCTTAGAATCTCGTCAGCACAGAAGAACTGTTTTTTTCAATCATACTTACTACTTACGAACATGGTAGATCTTAGCTCTGGGAATTGTAAAGAATGTTTTTTATGTATTATTTCATGCAAGTCACTCTCCATGTGTGAGTACTCCACCACTGGCTCAGCTAAAGATAAATATATAAGAGGTAAGAAGATACCTTCGAGCTTCTCAGTTATGTTGAAAACTTTGTTTATAGCAGGATGTTTGTGGACTACAAGTGTTGCGAGAATATTTGACCCGAAAATTATTACAGAGGTTCGTAATGGATTAGAAAAGAATTTAGATTATATTGACCGAAACTATAAGAGAGTTAACGTTGACTGTTTGTTTGGAGTGGCACTCGCAACAGGTAAGTGCACATCTTTGAGGAAAATTTTTCCACCATTAATTCATTAACAGTTTGATTTATATTTTAGTGGGATCATTCTCACGCTTGAAAATTTGGATGTATGCTTTCAACATTCTTAAAGGAACTTCAATATTTTCACCAGCAACTTATCAAAAAAGAATGTCACTGATTATACGAACATTATTATTAATTAGTAATATAGCTTTCGTCTGTCCGACCTCAGACGCCCAACCATTGGCTTGGCCTCAAGTATGACAATGAACGAAGCCCAGTCACCACTGCGGTCGCTAGATGCCGCCGAGTAGACCGTATCTCCTACTCGTATACAACCAGAGTGAGCGGCATTTAGTGGCCACCGTGGTGACCCGGCTGTCAAATACAAACTGAGACCGTTCCAACAGACAACTTGCTGTTTTCACTCTCGTAGTGGCCGATTCTGGTAATATGTAGTTGACACCTTGTGCTGAATTTTTTTATTAATGTTTAGGCATTGAGACCGTCACGTGAACGGTGATGCGTCCTGTATATGGCAATATTAACATTATATTGCGTTCATCATTAGGCTATTCGTAAACTTCAAAATGGTCGTTGATCGGCATGAATGTTGTATGCGCATCCACCTTTATTTAAAAACGTATCCATACTATGTGACAAAGAAAACGGAACACCCAGTGAAGATAATGATTTCATCTCAATGAAATATTATATACAGTTAGACATAAAAAGACGTGATTAAGTTCAAACATTTGCTGTATCGCTTATCGTTGGATGTTCCTTATAGTGTGCTGGGCCATCTCGATGCCATATACAGTCGTCCAGTCATCGGGGCAAGCTTCAGGTAATTTATCTTCTTGAGTTGTCTGATTCCAAGTTAGGTGTATTTAAAGAGGTACCTCATTTTCCCAGCATGTCTAGGCCAAGGAAGGAGGCCGACTTGAGAGTTATTGAAATAGTCCATTGAACTTCTAGCCATGTGAGGATATCAGTATCTTGTTAGAAAATAGAGCTCTCATGCGTTCAACTGGAAATTTTACATTACGCTTTTCTCCACAACGGCGACGCCTTCTCACCCTTGACCATCCATTATGCATTCCTACACAAAACTGTCACCGAGAAAATTGGGATGAGTGGTATAACATTATGTATTCCATAGAATAAGTCTAGGTTCTTTTTAGGAATACAGGGTGTCCCAGAAGTCGACGTCAAGCCGACACCGGGTGATAGGCAAAGTCATATCAGCTATCAGAAAAATATTTAAGAAAATTTTATGTATGTGTTTTGAAAATTATAGGTCTTTGAAAAAAATATAGAAATTTCACACCCTATGACAGTCTGTCAACTCCTGTTACTACAAATATTAACTTTTTTTGGATTTTATTTTTACAATGTAATGATGAATAATGCATCTTCAAACTGGTGTCTCAACCTTACTGCCAACTTTTCTCGTTCAGGAAAAATTGCCACTTATTTCCCAACCAAGTATTCCAAAGTAAAACTTTGCTCAACTTTAACTGGTTGTACTGGAAAAAATGTACTACGAGAGTTTGGCAAGTAACCTTAAAAGTTGGCGCATTTAATAAGGATTCCAAAATGGTGTAACACTTAGAAGATTACTCGTTAACTTATGCACAATTTTTATTTGAAGAAAAACTGATGAACATTTTTCAAAATTTCCTAATTAAACAGCGATTATGAAAACGCACAAGGACCCTTAAGGATAACTGTTTGCACAACAGTGGGCGTCAAAATGCTGCCGATGATGATTTACCTTTACAGCAAATGCTCAAACTGTTTTCCTTCAGCCGCAATACACGCTCGACATCTTAAAAAAGATCGGGTTATTAAACGAGCGAATCCACGGTTACTAACAAACTCAGCTGCTTCCAATAGTCTTTGCCGTAGCTCAGCTACATATTGAATCGGCTTGAAATACACTTTTTCTTTTACAGTTGCCCAGTAAAAAAAATCTAACGGATTCAAATCTGGTGACCGGGCTGGCCACGGTATTGTACCAGACCGCCCTATCCATCTGCCTGGAAAGTTTTGATCGAGTTACTCTCTCACTGAGAGTGCATAGTGCGCTGGGCAGCCATCATGCTGAAACCACATGTCTCTGTAAATACTCAGTGACACGTCCTCCAATAAATTTTCTAAATGATTTTGCAAAAAATCTAAATAAACCTCAGCAGTCAAAGTCTCTGGGAACTCAAACGGACCGATTATTTTACCATTTAAAATTCCTGTCCAATGGTTTATCTTGAAGCGATATTGAGATTTATCTTCTCTCATCAGATGTGGGTTTGCTACGTGCCACTCGTGTAAGTTATGCAGGTTCATGTACCCATCTTTCTTAAATGTGGTCTCATCTGACCATAATTTTTTTTGAAAGAACCGTGGATCTTCCCTGTGCCTTTCCAACATTGTGCGGCAAAAAGCAACTCGGGGCTCATAATCCCGGGGCAGAAGAGCACGAACACGCTGTACGTGGTATGGATACTACGAGAGTTTGGCAAGTAACCTTAAAAGTTGACGCATTTAATAACGTTTCCAAAATGGTATAACACTTAGAAGATTACTCGTTAACTTATGCACAATTTTTATTTGAAGTAAAACTGATGAAAATTTTTCAAAATTTCCTAATTAAACAGCGATTATGAAAACGCACAAGGACCCTTAAGGATAACTGTTTGCACAACAGTGGGCGTCAAAATGCTGCTGATGATGATTTACCTTTACAGCAAATGCTCGAACTGTTTTCCTTCAGCCGCAATACACGCTCGACATCTTCTTAAAAAAGATCGGGTTATTAAACGAGCGAATCGACGGTTATTAACAAACTCAGCTGCTTCCAATAGTCTTTGCCGTAACTCAGCTACATTTTGAATCGGCTTGAAATACACTTTTACTTTCACAGTTTCCCAGTAAAAAAATCTAAAGGATTCAAATCAGGTGATCGGGCTGGCCACGGTATTGTACCAGACTGCCTTATCCATCTGCCTGGAAAGTTTTGATCGAGATACTCTCTCACTGAGAGTGCATAGTGCGCTGGGCAGCCATCATGCCGAAACCACATGTCCCTGTAAATACTCAGTGGCACGTCCACCAATAAATTTTGTACATGATTTTTCAAAAAATCCAAATAAACTTCAGCAGTCAAAGTCTCTGGAAACTCAAACGGACCGATTATTTTACCATTTAAAATTCCTGTCCAATGGTTTATCTTGAAGCGATATTGAGATTTATCTTCTCTCATCAAATGTGGGTTTGCTACGTGCCACTCGTGTAAGTTATGCAAGTTCATGTATCCATCTTTCTTCAAATGTGGTCTCATCCGACCATAAAATTTTTTCAAAGAACTGTGGATGTTTCCTGTGTTCTAACATTGTGCGACAAAAAGCAACTCGGGACCCATAATCCCGGGGCAGGAGAGGTTGAACACGCTGTATGTGGTATGGATGAAGCACATCACTTACTTGCTATTGCACACTTTGATACCGATCAGTACTCCTTCGTTTACTGCGCATCTTTACATGTTCGTGCTTGTTGATTTCGTACTGTTACTAATTTTGGATTCGTGAACTGGACTGTTGATCGCTTGTGATTTGGATTTGGACTGTTTAATTGCTCTTCAAAACAACATTTGCTTTCCTTAGACTATCATTGATAGTGTGATTGTGCAGTGACGCTATGTCCGTGTACACCGTACAAGAATATGCTAACATGCACCTCATTTATGGGGAATGCAGATGCAACGCTAGTGCTGCAGCGAGACTTTACTGTGAGAGGTACCCGAATGCAGCTCGTCATCCAGATCATCGAGTGTTCACAAATGTGCACCGCTTACTGTTCTCAGACGGCCAACTACCAAACCAATCACACGGTGAGGGAAGATCTATCCTTCCTTACGAAGACGTGGTGCTAGGAGCTGTCGAAGAAGACCCGAGTACTTCAGTGCGTGCAATAGAACTAAAAACAGGTGTGCCCAAAAGTACAGCCCATAGAATCTTGCAAAAAAACGTGCTCCATCCATACCACGTACAGCGTGTTCGTGCTCTTCTGCCCCGGGATTATGAGCCCCGAGTTGCTTTTTGCCGCACAATGTTGGAAAGGCACAGGGAAGATCCACGGTTCTTTGAAAAAAATTTATGGTCAGATGAGACCACATTTAAGCAAGATGGGTACATGAACCTGCATAACTTACACGAGTGGCACGTAGCAAACCCACATTTGATGAGAGAAGATAAATCTCAATATCGCTTCAAGATAAACCATTGGACAGGAATTTTAAATGGTAAAATAATCGGTCCGTTTGAGTTCCCAGAGACTTTGACTGCTGAGGTTTATTTAGATTTTTTGCAAAATCATTTAGAAAATTTATTGGAGGACGTGTCACTGAGTATTTACAGAGACATGTGGTTTCAGCATGATGGCTGCCCAGCGCACTATGCACTCTCAGTGAGAGAGTAACTCGATCAAAACTTTCCAGGCAGATGGATAAGGCAGTCTGGTACAATACCGTGGCCAGCCCGATCACCTGATTTGAATCCTTTAGATTTTTTTACTGGGAAACTGTAAAAGTAAAAGTGTATTTCAAGCCGATTCAAAATGTAGCTGAGCTACGGCAAAGACTATTGGAAGCAGCTGAGTTTGTTAATAACCGTGGATTCGCTCGTTTAATAACCCGATCTTTTTTAAGAAGATGTCGAGCGTGTATTGCGGCTGAAGGAAAACAGTTCGAGCATTTGCTGTAAAGGTAAATCATCATCAGCAGCATTTTGACGCCCACTGTTGTGCAAACAGTTATCCTTAAGGGTCCTTGTGCGTTTTCATAATCGCTGTTTAATTAGGAAATTTTGAAAAATTTTCATCAGTTTTACTTCAAATAAAAATTGTGCATAAGTTAACGAGTAATCTTCTAAGTGTTATACCATTTTGGAAACGTTATTAAATGCGTCAACTTTTAAGGTTACTTGCCAAACTCTCGTAGTACATTTTTTTCCAGTACAGCCAGTTAAAGTTGAGTAACGTTTTACTTTGGAATACTTGGTCGGGAAATAAATGGAACTTTTTCCTGAACGAGAAAAGTTGGCAGTCAGGTTGAGACACCAGTTTGAAGATGCATTATTCATCATTACATTGTAAAACTAAAATCCAAAAAAAGTTAATATTTGTAGTAATAGGAGTTGACAGACTGCCGTAGGGTGTGAAATTTCTATATCTTTTTCAAAGACCTATAATTTTCAAAACACATACATAAACTTTTTTTAAATATTTTTCTGATAGCTGTTATGACTTTGCCTATCACCCGGTTTCGGCTTGACGTCGACTTCTGGGACACCCTGTAGACGTAATGTAAAGGTTTGTCTTGTAGAAGTTATGATTTGAAAATCCATTGCATATGGTCACTTCTTCGAGGAAGTATTGCTATCACACAAAACTTTTTTTGATGTTATATGACATGTACATCAAGATAAACCATGTAACTCATTTCTGTTGGTCTGTCTGTTACCTAATCTTTGGCCCGTCTGTAACGTGGAAAGTACCACTCAGATTTGGATGAAACTTTCACACAAGGTTAGTACTAGGATGATAAAGGTTTGTTGTTTTTGAATATCGGTACTGTGGCGGTGGAGAAAAAGGCAAAAAATAGAAAATAAAATAAAATTCGCCTACACTTCGTTTTTCACATTTTAGAAGCTCCTGATCATTTCCAGAAAAAAACTTGTAGGGGTTATAACTTGGGGGTAAGGGATTGCAGGGGTCGGAGCCTTTATCTCAATTTTTTGACATTGGCATATTTATGCACGCTTCTAACCACAGTATCTACGCACCTATTAGATATATTTCATTCATCATAGTTACCTCCAGCAGCAACGGTAATGTGCACTCGCAAGAATTTCCCTCAAGGGCCTTTTAAATTTTTGTTATTCATGATCGTATGAGGGGAAGCAGAGTAGCCTCTTTACCTCATCCTCCATAAACGCTAGGCAGGTCCCCGGAACAAAGTAGCTAGTATGAGATAAGATATGTCAAGAAGACATAAATCACCTGCTTAGAAGCATGTCTCGACGAATGGATGAATATTGTCGGCATCCAACACATTTTTACGAAAATCCAGCGATACAGCAATTGCCTTTACGACTTCATCTTGCTTATATCCAGCTGTATAAAAATTTGATAGCAATATTTACTTGTCTTCAAAATATACATACACTATACTTAAAGAAATTTTATATCGAAGACAAATACATGAAGAACCCGCAGAAGGGCGACCCTTGTGCGCGATTAAAAAATATTACAAAATACTCATACATTAACGACAACACAACACAATAAGGTCTTATTTTTTTATAACTTTTTTAGCACTGATTGACGATGCTTATCAGAATGGTACACACATCATGGATAAAAGCTCTTTGGAAATCATGGAGAAGTCATTAGTCATTCTGAAGAAAAGTATACCATATTCTAGAGAAAAATCTGAATGGAGTGAGTATATGCATTAATTGTAATTTCAAGAAATAATACAAATACATTATTCTGTTTTTAGTTACAGACGCTTTTCTATATCCTACCATATGGCGAAAGAATATCTGTTACAGAAGCAATGCTCTCCATATCCCTAACTTGCCAAGTTTCAAATATGTGAAAAAAATCTTTAATCGCGATTACATAGACGGTTCTGAAATTGACTTCTGTTTACAAAATATAGTTAACTTTACAAATTCTATGGTACCAACAAGGTGTTTCATTGATAGAAGGTGTTGGAAATATTTTGAGCCCGACGAAAACTCAGTTGGTTACCTGTTGACTCACAAGTAGGTAGATATGAATATATCTAATGATAAATGTTAAAATGAAGAGGAACGAAATAGACATGTTTATAAAAGTCCGAAGCGTTAAGTGTTTCGGTTAGAATCGATGTATCTGTTAAAAGCTTCAGATTTTAGCCGCGTAGTAGAAGAATTGTATGTAACAGGACTTTTTCCTATTTACAGGCTTTTGATTCTTCAGCTAGCTAAAGCAAGAAAATGTTATTTGAACGATAATGTCTATGGAACGAAGACAGAAGAATTATGCTCCTCAATACTGAGCGAAGTTGTCAATGCTGATTATTATGGATATTTAGACAACATGTTTGATCTGTATTTAGAACAAGGCACGTATTTCTGCAAAACTTTTGTTTACTCTCATAATTGCGATAAATGATCCGGCCCTATCATGACGCAGATTTGCACTTATAATATTATGAAGCAATAATCTTACGATATCACCAAAAAAATACTGTCGTCATAATTGTAGGAAAAAATTACATCTTTCCTGGCCTGTGTGGATTTTGTGCAGACTATGTATAGGCATCAATTAACATAGACCACCAGAAGATACCCAATTCAATTGAATGCCGTACTTAAACGAATATATGCATATACGTACTGTCAACCACCGTCTTAAGTTGTTAGCTTTGCCACCTCTTTGACTGTTGCTGCAGGCTATGGGACTTTTTCGTCGTTGAAAAATTCTGAGAACTCGAAATCCTTGGAAAAAGTACGAGCAAGGCTGAGGTTTAATCTTCTATTGGAAAGTTAATGTCATGTTTAAGAATAATGTTTTTTTTATAAGGAAGATAATTTTAGTCTGTTTCCATTACTTCTAAGGAAATTAGCACGATCCTGCTTGGCAACATGTCTATGACGATCGAGATGCTATGTGATTGGTTGGGTATCTTCTTCGAGAATACTTCAATCAATAATATAATAGGTCTATATTGAACACTCATATGAAATATCTCCCTGATATATTCATGTCACATTTCCATTTCCAGTTGTTTTATGTGGGTACGAAGGTTATACAGAATTTTTACAAAACAAGTGGTTGTACTACATACTGAAGTCACAAAGATCATCTGGCTGCTTCCCAGCTTTCTTGGATGACAGCCTGAAAACGCGAATGAAAAGGAACAGTAACACTTTGGATGATGGTTGTGTAGATCATACAACAGGACTTGGGGCAGCTGTGCTAGCCCTTCATTACAACTACATCATCAAAGAGTATCCTGCAACTCGATAGATATGTGCTTGCTTTGTGTATAAAACCAAATATACTCTTATTCATTAGTGCAATTAATTTTTCATTTAAACAGATTCTGAACACAAGAAGACCAAGACAACTGCCATAGGGAAAATTATCGGCATTAAAACTTTGTTTATGGAGTTTAGAGCCTATCTCTCGATTTTATGTCTTATTCAATAATCCATTATGTAAAAATGTAAATTCCACAGACTTTGCTTTGCTGTACCTACTGACTTGGTTGTCTATTTTCGGTTCAGCATGAATATAGGAAAACAAACTGTAGTAAACAAGATCACTCAAACAAAATGATTTCCCAAGGTCACTAATCAAATCCTTGAGATAAAACTATATAAATATAACTAATAAGATAAAAAATACATATATTTCCATAGAAGTTAATGATTACGGTACAGCACCATGCAAATAATAAACAGATTTGCTAATTTTACAAGTGGCGAAGCTTAATTATTTTCTGGTTGTAAGTAGGTAGTCAAATCTCACTAATTTTGGACCGAGAAAAACGAATTTCGTCATGAAATAATTATATTAGTTCTTGTTTTTAAGACACGCAGCAGTTCATTGTAACATATACATCGATTAAAATATAAATTGGAAATCCTCTGTCTTGTAATGTTTAATAAAACAAAATTAAAACATAATCCAAATGTAAAAATCATTTTCAATAAAGATATAATATCATGCAATAGTCTGTCTGCATTTTGGGCTGCCTTTTGTACATCGAATGCGTCTCTTGTAAGAGTCGCAGTAGTCGGCGAGCATTGGCCAAATAATTTAGAAAACACTTAAAACTCGTCAATCCACAACAGTCACAAAACTAAAGTGTCTGATGATCGAGGTAGGCCGTTTTCGGTATCACTACTTGATTACCTACTTTTCATGTTGTTATGAGAATTAAGGGTAATTACCTTCTTCATAGCAATTAAAAGGGTTTATTTGGCATTTATGGTTCTCGGAATTTAGTATTTTTGCCGTGGCATATAGATTTTCGGACTACAGTGCCCAGTTAATTTTACTACCCTAGTAGGTTCTATATTTTGAAAATAAGAATTAATCTGACGTTTTATTTATATACTTGACTAACCTTACTGGTAACACTGTGTATCAAAATGTTATTTTAAGTTTCATACAGGGTGAAACGTTATGATAGTCATTATTTAAATGGGTGATAGAGGGGGTTAAAAGAAGCAAAAAGTTTCATATAACATGGGGGTCAACACGGCATTTTTTTTAGTGAAAAGCGACTTTAAAGTAAAATAAAATCTGACAACGACGCAATGCCAGACGCAAATTACGACGAGACGCAGTGTAAATAAAGATGGAGTTTGTCATTTTTTGCTCTTAGGTATTATTTCATTATTCGATAATGTACTCGTAAAATGCAAACAATTAAAAAAAACGGACGTACCACAAACTGTCTCAGCGCTTTACCTGGTGTGTGAAAGTTTATTGAACGTATTAAAAAAATCCCAATATATAGGGAACACAATTTTGATACATACATTGTTTTTCTTTTTAAAACCCACACCGCTCTTTCTTTGTATTTAAAGAAGATGTTCAAAATGTCGTCCTCCACTTTCCACACAAGCTTCATTACGACGAACCCAGTTTCTTCTTACTCTAGGTCCTCGAAGTTGTCCATTTATTGTTTCAGCCGCATTAAATTTTTTTCCGCGACGTTGTGCTTCAGTTGTTATTGGACCAGCCCCATGAACCATCCCTTTAAATTCTCCCCAATACCAGAAATCAATCGGATTGAGGTCAGGAGATCTTGCTGGCCATTTTCGAGGATCATTAGCATTTCGACCAATCCAGCGATTTGGATAATGATCATTCAAATACTGAATGACGCCTCTAAAAATGTATGGTGGTGCCCCGTCATGAAGAAACCACAAATTCTGTCTCCGTTGTAATGGCATGTTTTTTAAGGTCTGTTCCAAAAGTTCTGGTAGGTTATTGGCTAGAAAGCTAAGGTATCCTTCTCCTGACAACTTTGGGGGTAACTCGAAAGGGCCAATTACCTGATCGTCAAGAATACCCGCCCAAATATTTATTTTAAAACGTTGTTAGAAATGACCTTTAATATCCCGTCTCGCGTAAAAGTACATTCGTCCGTCGCTAGAATGTTTTTAATAAAATTCGGATTTTCAATGTTTTTGTGCAAAAACCACTGACAGAATGTTAGTCTGCGAGGATAGTCTTCTGGTAACAAGGCCTGCACTCGTTGTACATGGTAGGGATAAAGCAAATGTTCCCGTAGGATTCTATGGACTATGGTATGCGATAGTCCTACGCAGCTGCCTAATTCCCGAGTGCTGATCTCTGCATTGATTTCCACGATATTTAAAATTTGTTCCTCCTGCTCTACAGTAACCTGTCTTTCACGAGTGCGATTGTTAGTGGGCTGAACACTTCCTGTATCTCGGAGTCTTTGGTACACTTGCACAAATGTCCTTCTGTCTGAGTGTACCCGTTGGCGAAATCTGTCGCGATAAATTTGAGATTTGAGTTCTGACGAGCTTCACCGTAAGCTAACAACATGTTGGCGAACTCTTGATTCGAGAACATTGTAAATAAACCTGACGACGTACGCGAACAATAACTAACCGTTTGCGATCGATTGCCGGAACGATAAGAGTGTTGAAAGATCGACGCGCTATGGTCATGTGTGTTATAAATATTTAATTTAATGAAACTTGCTCACTTACTGACTATAAATTTTGGCTCAACTTAGAAAAACTTAATGCCATTTATTTGTTAATTACCCAATTTGAAAACGTTTTACATTAGATTATAAAAATTAGTAAGATTGTGGTCGATATATTTAGACAAAAATCTATTGACTTTTGGAACATCGGTCATATGAACTTTTTTTTTTATATATTTTATACAAAAAGTATTCATGTTTAAATGGATCCAGGCATTCAAAACAGCTATACACTTTTTCTTTGTATTTGAATCTTGAGTAATCGAATATAATTTAGAATATAGTATTCAGGATTCAAAAACGGAAACCAAAAATTACTGTTATCACCTTGATAAACTATCTAACAAGATATGATTATACATAAGGCCATATCATTGCTATGAACTGGGCAAGTGTTAAAGACTTATTCAAATATGTATTGCTCACAATCGTTCAAAAAACAATGATTAATAATAAACCTTTATACTTGTACAAAAAATTCATTCTTGTCATGATATAATCCACCCCAACAGATTTATTCGTTTTCCAGATATATTAAACATGCTTCAACACAAGACTTCTATATTCACAAGATCTGCAATCCTATAGAACTCTAACAAACGACCTGAAAAATATGACTGTGAAATAATTTACACTAAATTTGAAGCTGCAACTTCTGTATGTCTGAGATCAGTGGTTTCTACTATTGAACTTTTACATTTCTTTATTTTAACATATTTGGTGAATATATGTATATATATATACAGGGTGTTCCTTAATGATATGCGAATATTTAAGGGTGTGAATCTACATGAAAAATTAATGTCACTTTGCTTTATAAACTATGTTCCAAAAATGTTTCCTTACAAAAACTCGGGGTGTTGAAGTTTTTGGAAAAAAAAGGAAATCAATTAACATTTTCTGAACAGCTTCAGATATTTCACTGATATTGAGTACGTTGTGAAAGTTAATAAAGTTGCATATTTTTCAATACAAAAATAATTTTTAGCTTTAACAGTGGCGTGCGTACGGGTATTGACTTCGATATTTTTTAAGAAATAAATAATACGCCAATGGTTTTTTTGACAAATGAAAATTGCTTTTGAATTCCCCGTTCAATTTAAAACAAATGATCTCTCTTGAACTGTTTTCTTTTGATGCGCTATTTTTGAGTAAAAAAATAAAAACCGTTCTATTGTCCGAGAAAATTAATGAATAATTATTGAAGAATGCAATTTAGCAATAAATATCTAGTTGCTCTGGAATATGTCACTGGCTTTTGACATCTGACAAGTCTCTGTTATTGAAGTCTGTTCGCTGTGACATCTTTTTCATTATTTAGTTTTTGCAATCTTGTTAATAATGGTGAATTATCCAAATGCAGAAATGGCGGAAATGGCTTTGCCGACGGTAATGGTGAGCAAGCCAGACGGATTTATCACCAGAGATATCCCGATCGTGCTTCGCCAGATAGTCGAACCTTTTCTAATATTCATCGTCGAATTGTTGAAACTCGTTCTGTCCGAAAATAAACATCTGAAGGTAGACCTCTAAGTGTGAGAACACATGATATTGAGGAAGCAGTGTTCCACGAAGTCGAAGAACATCCTGAAACGAGTACGAGGAAGATCGCTAGACACTTAAATGTTTGCCATCAAATTGCTTGGAGAATTTTAGTGGACTTTTTGTTATATCCTTACCGTATTTTAAGAGTACAGGTATTACTTCCCATTGATTTTCCAAGGCGTGTGACCTTTTGTCAGTGGTATCTTCAAAAAGTTACACAAAATCCGCAATTTCAATCAATGATTCTGTTCACTTGCGAAGCTAATTTTTCTCGAAATGCCATTCAGAATTTCCACAATAATCATTTGTGGGCAGAAGAAAATCCCTATGCCGTAACCGAAACCCATTTCCAATCATTATAAATAAAGCTGTTTCTTATTATTATTATTATTATTATTATTATTATTATTATTATTATTATCATATTCGAATATCGAGTTTCAGTATTCGATCTTAGCCTGGGTCGGCTATCCTGCGACTGGATATCCGGCCAATTCACTATCCGCTGTAACCCTAAACTGAACGTAACTAATGACTCTAGAGGTGATATTGGTATATTAAATTGTGAAAAAGTATATATTATATAAGAAGTTTATCAGAATCCGTAGGAATCACAACCTTTTGCTCAAAACACAAAAATGCATATTTATAACAATTATATTAATAATAATTGAACTTGTTTATGCAGCTTACCAAGATATCCGCATTTTTCATCAATACAAAGAATGATACTTACAACCGTATTTACAATAACATCATAATATATTGCTATTATGTTAAAGCTCCTTAATTAACAACAAAAGATAAACGGGTGTCAATATCCAGTGAACTAGTTTTATCACAAAACGTTTGGAAATCAACGGTTGGGTATAAATGCTTCCTGATATCAGCTCACCATTCACATAAAGACAATGAGGGTGGAAGTGTTGGGAACTTTTGTTCTTTTTTCAACAATCATCTATGCTGCACCGTCGGATGTGTTTGGACAGCAGGATGCTCAAAAGAAGTTGAAAACCGGTAAGTTCAATAACAGTTGCGATGCAAGTCTTCTTAACTTCATGCACGTTTTACCATTTTGCTGGGAGGGCGACTAATAAAAGAAATAATAATACATTTATTTCATTGTTAGAAAAATTGTTAAATAAGACTTCAACAAATAAAAAAATGGTAGCAAAAGACATATACCGTAGAAACAAAACAATACGATACAGATTAAAAACCAGACTTAAGAACTCTTCCAGGGTATAAAAACACTTATCTACGAGAAATGATTTCAATTGTTTTTTGAAACTACTTAATGTAGAGTCTATTTGGATAGATTTTTCTAAATTATTGGCAATTTTACATCCTATATATTAACTCAGAGATTTTTGATATGTTGAAGTACAATGTGGGGGGATTAGTAAATCGTTTGATCAAGTTTGGTAATTATGTCCTCTTTATTACTGAAGAGATTTAATTTATTTTTATACACAAAATATAATAAATGTATATACAGACTACTGTTAAATTTTTCAATGATCGAAAATAGTCCATGGAGGATTCACGCCAATTAACATTTGCAATAATTCTAAAACATACTGACCAGTAATATGTTTATCATCGGCATATGATATTATTTTACAGTTAGAAGTTGCATTCTACAGGTATTCATTGAGATTATTTGCATATAGCAAAAACAGAAATGGTCCCAGAACCGATCCTTGGGGAACACCTGCCTCTATAACCATGGTATCGCTGCTTGAATCATCAGAACGGGACATATTGCCTTCTTCCATCAGGATATGATGTTGTAATGGCAGTCTTCGAGCTCCATATCTGTACAACTTACACAGAAGCAACTCATGATCGCCGTAATCAAAAGAAGCACGATAGAAGTCTATGAAAAGGCCACAAATATGTTACTTATTTCGGTCGGTCGGTCTGTATGTCGCTAATTCTTAGGCCGCCTGTAAACATGAGAAGTACCAGTCGGATTTGGATAAAATTTTCACACAATGTACTTTTTGAAAATTGGTTCAGTGGCGGCCGAGCTATGGGCAAAAACCAAACAAAAAATTTGTAGGGTTTGAATATTGGGAGTTGGGTGTAGGGGATCGGGATGAGAATATGAAATGTTTTTGATACATTCATCTTCCAAACCTGGTAATTCTATGCACCTATTAGCGATATTTCTCCGTACGATAACTCGCTGCAAGGAAATAATCTCTATGGACTAATTGCATCCGTTTATCTTCTCTGTTGTACATTTTCGTAATTGACTTTTTTCTTAGAGGATTTAAATTGCGATGAACTTAATCCTTTATGAACTGATGATGCCGTAGCGTAGTGCAGAGTCAACCTACTTTACGCAATTTTTAACAAATGTGTAATACTTGATATCTATACAGTTATTTCCCAGTAACAGATGCTGTTTCTGTGCAAACTAATTTTAGGTACGTAAAACACGTCCCAGTTTTCATGTATTTATTTACAATTATTATTTTACAGCTGATAAGCAGCTTGTACAAAGACAACTAGACATCTTGAAGTTATACAAGCTGGTTAATCAAGATAGTAACTGCACCACAGCTGCAGGAATTTCTAAAAATTATGTCCTGGAAAACAGAAATGAGGAGTATACGGTAAATACAACAACTTTATCTCTCACCTGTAAAATTACTCTGTATCATAGCTGTTAATAATGTGTACATAAAACTTCGCGAGGATTTCTAGAGCTTATGTCGTCATGTGCTTAAAACTAAGTGACATTAACCAAAATCTAAGTGATTTCACACCAAGGGTATTTTTTTCGGATTATGTGAACTGTAAAAATTGATCAGACTAGAGTTTAAATCAAATTCTTTATGGCGTCTTTGGTGAATTGAGCTTTGTCTTTATGATTGCTTAAATAGGTGTAGAACAAAAAATATACGTTTCAAGTTGCTTTCATTCAATTTTACATTTATTTGTTGCCAGAATACACAAGCATATGAGGAATTTTTGCATACATACCAGAAAGGGATGCTCCCACGTGGCCACATATTCTCCATTCTTCGATGGGCTCATTTAAAACAAGCCATAGCCCTTTTCAAAATACTGTACTTTGCCAGGGATTATGATACTTTCTACAAAACAGCTGTATGGGCGAAGGATAACATCAATGAAGGGATTTTTGTTTACGCTTTAAGCGTAGCTCTAGCTCACAGGTAAGTAAGGGTAACACTGATAAAGGATATAGTCAAAAAATGAGAAAAATGTCTCAAAACGAGGATCGTTAAGCTGTTTCAAAAATTTCAGTGTATTTTCTTATTTAGTTGCTTTCAAAAATAATACGATTTTACAAAATTTCTACATCTGATTTTATATACCGAAGCAGCCGCGTAGACAGAAGCCTATAACGAGGCACGGCAACTGCTATAAGGAGGTTAGAAACACGTTAATGCGATCTTTGAACTGCCTAAGGTTAGTAGAACGGGGAAAAACGTTCTCACGTAGATTGTTCCACAATCTCGATATCCTAGGAACAAGCGAGCGGTCGTACCGGCCAGTTCTGTATTTACGTGATTCGACACGATTAGAATGGGATGCCGAAGTCTGGCAGGTCCATCACGCGGCGGCATAATGGAAGACAGCTCTGAGGAGCAAAGCTCGTAGATATAGCGGTAGAAGAGAGCCAGATCGCCGACGGTTTCTAGGTGCGCAAGTGTCATGAGACCGTCCGTTAGAGAAGTGGCCCCAATCAGTCGGACAGCCTTTCTCTGAACATCATCAAGTATGGGCCTCGTATAGAATGAGGAGATTATTCGGAGAAAAGTACTACTTGACTCTGAGCATCTAGCCTAGCTTTTGCCCAGCAGCTGCCGCGATTGACGAGATGTGTTCGAGCCAAAACAAGTTCTCGGCGATCTGGACTCCGAAGAGCCGAAATGAACAACTCAAGGTACAATATTGTGTATTGAAAGCATTAAACTGTACCAGATTGTTGTGTTCTTCTCTCCAGCTTGGTACTCTAAATTCCTGCATGTGGCCTGCTGTCATCACCAAAGCTGTGGATCGGAATGATCGTACAGGAGGGTAGGTCGTGGATATGTAATAAGAACAATCTTGGAGCCTAGACAGATCCCTGGGGAACACCCGCGACATTGTGGGATGAAGATAACGATAGATATCAGAGCGGGAGTCAGCTACCCATCTTCACAGCTTCTCTAGGAGGCCACAGGATGGAAGTTAGCTTACGAGGACACTACGCCACATATGATCCAAAGGTTTGGTGATATCAAAAACAAACACATGAGCTTCACCATATGACTGGACGAGTTTTCTTCAAAGTTGTGTGACGTAAGATATGAGGTCCCCCGTTGATCGGTTGTGTTGCCAATCAAGCCGTGATCTTCAAGAGTCTCCGAGAGCTCCCGATTCTTCTCCTTCCGGAATAGTGTAAATTAATAATTTTGAATGAATGACAACCCCCTCGTAGTCATACTGAATTTCTTTGGTGCTGTGTCTTCAAAATAAAGCGCCTATCAAAATTTACAAAAGAAAAAATGGTCTTAAGGTATTTGAGGCAATAACCTCCCGAATTTAAGTTAACCATGTTAAATTCTCAACCTGTTGAAGAATTTTGCAAATTTAAATTGAAAACTAGAATATTGAATGAGAAATGGTAGAATTGATAGCATGTATTATTGAACATTACTTTTCTAGGACAGATACTTACGGCATTATCATTCCACCAATCTACGAAATCTTCCCTTACTCTTTCTTCGACTCCGCCGCTGTTGAAAAGGCACAGCAATTCAAACAAACTTGGGACGACGGTCAAGCTGATAAAATTCATGTGATTGATGCAAATTATTCCGGATACTACCTCAACCTACACCCTGAACAAGTTATGTCTCACTACACTGAAGATGTTGGCCTCAATGCTTTCTACTGGTATACCAATGTATTCTACCCTTTCTGGATGGGAGGTAAGATATAAGCATATGATTACATATTTAAGCAAGTAAGATCCTCATTCCAAGAGATCAAGCCAGGAATAGCAAAGGTCCTTTCAAATGAAGCAATTTGATAGAACATAGGTAGTATTTATTTTCAAATTGTTGAGATATTGGACGATTTATCGAAAAAATGCTCATGATCTCGCATCTCCTCAACTGTTATAGCTAGAGTACTAATTTTTTCGGCAGAAAAATTTTATGATCCCATACTTTCTCCCTATGTAGTTACTTTTTCGGTTTATTTTTGATAGTTTATACATGATGGCTAATAACGTAAAATTAACGATTTCTCAAAATATTCAAATGTCTATGTTCATATACTTTGATAAAGCAGTTTTATAAATTAGATATCAAAGTACATAAATGAATAATATTACATTACATTTCAAAATAAAAAACAGCATTAACCTGGTAACGGCTGATTGTTATAATTGGCGTATTTTCATTAAAAATTAAATCTGTTCCTGTATTTTAAGTAACTCAATAACTAGTTATACAAACCCTGATAGCCTTATATCAGAAAAGAGCTTGTGAAAAAGACAATCAAATGAATGTGAAAATGTAGGGTGTTGGTACTTTTTCTTAAATCTAATCAACCTTATGCCATAAAGTCGAAAAGTCAAGAAGGTGTCCCTGTATTTTAACTAACTCAACAACTAGTTATACAAACCCTGATACGCCTTATATCAGAAAAGAGCTTGTGAGCTTGAAAATGTTGTGAAATAGTTGATTTTCCGTTCTTTGCCAGCCGATATAAACTATCCTATAAAACAGAAAAAGAAAGTAGGCAGGAAGAAAATATATGATCATAACACTTTTCTGAAGGAAAGTCAGTTCTCTATCTATACCAGTTTCGGAGGTGCGAGTTATCAAAATGGAGTGTTTTTTTTTCTATAGGTTGCCCAATATCTCAACAATTTGAAAACAGAACCTCACAGAACGTAATATCAAATTTCTTCGTTTGGAAGGACCTATGCGAATCGGCAGTGAAATGTGGGTCTTTCCTATTAAGAAAATGTATCTTTAGGTCACCACGTAATTATGGATCAACATGTAGAAATAAAAATATTTTCCAAGCAAGGGGCATACTCTTAGATGCAATTTTCGTGATTAACTTTTTTAGATACCGTGCGCAATAGCGCAGTTATCTACCGAGCCCGCACTAAAAACTAACCTTGTATGTACATAAAACGTGATAGATGAGAGTGAATGGTGGCTCAATAAGGGATTGATGTGGTGTGAGCAAGCAGATGACTCCACTTACTAATGTTTTGCCAAGCTGATTTTCATCCTCATCCCATACGATGATTATGATAGAATAGGGGTCTCTACGTCTCTGGCTCATAACAGCTTGACGATCTGCGCTATGCACATATAGGTATCGCATCAACATTACGGCCGACCAGTCAAGTATTCTCGGAGCAATTCAGCAATGGCTTTCTATGAATACATGCATGTATAGACAGAAGTTGAAATGGACTTGCTTGCTTTTTGACATCTATCTGTACATAGAGCCCAGGTAGATCTGATTAACGAAATATCGTCAATGAAACTCAAACTACCTAAGGGAAAAATTTATGAGATTTCAAATTTGGTGATCCAGATGGCGATCGCAACTTATCGTTTTAATGAAGCAGGTTAGTTTTTTTGGCGATACGCACGTGCACATCATCAAAATTTAACAACATTGGTTGAATAATTATCTCCATTTTTTTGTAAGCCCGCGAAGCTTAACATCCTGTAAGCTGGAAAAGAAACACCTCTTAAAGGTTGGCCAAGTGCTTTATACTTTATAACGCTCTGCAGGTGAAGACTAAAAATGCTTAACATTTTCAGGGCCTGAATTCAAATTCAGAAACGACCGCAGAGGAGAGCAACACTACTACCTCTTGCAGCAACTGTTAGCAAGATACTATCTGGAGCGTCTCTCCTTTGATATGGGCGAAATTCCTTTCATCGATTGGGACAAACCTCTGGAAACGGGATACTTCCCATCTCTTGTCTACCCTAATGGAATTCCCTTCCCAAGCAGACCGAACTTTGCTCCTCTCTCCACGATTAAACGCAACTGGGGTCAATCTTGGATGTGGAAGTCAAAAATGGGATACAGTCAAATGTTGGTGAAAGACTATGAGCGCAGAATATCTGACGCGGTCGATTCAGGATTTGTACTAAATGTAAGTGCGAACTCAACCTATGACAGACATTTCTTTTGCTCTTACAGTACAGGACTCGTATTAAGATTTACTTTCACCGATCTGAGAGCATGGGCGCCCGCAAGGGGGACATGTGAAAGTGTACTTGCCTCAAACATTGTTTGGAGAGCGGGAAGAAGCAAATTTTCTCAGCGGGGGCAGATACTAAAAATCTCAAAAATTTGAACACAAAATCATACTGAATGTGCACACCTCAATTGTATTAGCCTGTTTTTTTGTTAAATATTATCGAAGGCAGCTTTTTTCGCATTGTGCCTAACTAGTGCCGAACATAATCCTTTATGAACTTATGACAGCATTGCGTCGGAAGTGCAGAGACACAACCAACTTGACGCCATAATAACAAACATAACTTCTGTCACTAATAACTCTAGAACTCGGAAAGTGATGCTCGTACTCTGATGAAATTAATTAGATAGTTTTAATGGACATAACACGTAATGGGGTACCTGCCTATCAGATCTTTCCGCATAATTCCTAATATAGCAAAAATAGATTTATAAGAGATGTAATGATGCCATTAATTACAATTTCTCGACTTCCAGAAAAATGGCAATATGGTAGATCTGTACACACCAGAAGGTTTTGATATGCTTGGCAACTTGGTGGAGTGTAATCCGGACTCTCCAAACCCACGTTTCATCGGACCAATAGAAATATTCGCGAAGTTACTTGTAGGATATGCCACAGTACCTCTGGACAAATACCACGTTGCCCCATCTGCACTCGAGCATTACGAGACGGCTAGCAGGTAAAAAATAATGTCAAAAGGGTCCTCATTTTACCTCTAGATTACCACAATTGGTGACAGGTCTCTACTGTAGGCTTCCCCAGGTGTAAAGAGGAATCAGTTTCAGGCTATACAGAAAGATGGGACAAACATTTAAGGGTCGATTCTTTGGATTATTCTACGACTATTTTGTCTTTTGACGCTATTCAGAATGCCGCTTTGTTTTTGAGACAGGCACCTAAAAGATAACACTGGAAATCGTTTTTTCTTAAATAACTTTTCAGTAATATCGTATAATCTATAGTGGCCATGGAATCGCTAGGAACGGACTAGCCACTAGCCGCGATGCAACACTTCTATTTTTACAGCCTGTGTGATATATTTGTTAATCCATTATCCTTCATCTGCAAAAATGTATCCTTGTCTGATATTTAGTTTATTCGTATTGTAACGAAAACACCGTTTTTACTGTTTAAAGTCTAATTTATTACTTTCACACTAATTTATTACAACACTTGCAATTAATTTATTACAAATTTATGACCATGTCCACTGTCGCTCGACTCTTTGACTGCATGTGCCCTCTACGCGAGTATTTCTCTTCGAACCGACAAGTCCAGAAGAGTTCCCACGCCCTCCAGATGGAACTCAAGTCTTCATCTAGCCCGATAGATGGCGGTCGATGATTCTCGATGCGTGGCGAACGTCCCCGACGTGCGTCATTCTGGTTACCTAAGTTCTAGTTATAAGCGCGTTACACAGTACAGTAGCCAGTAACTTGTCGGTGACTGTAGTGTAAGATGGCTATATGAATTCCGTTCATTCTGTGTAAACTGTATTCACATAGCCGAATCCTAGACTACAGTTGCCGACTACTGTACGAACATACCATTAGATAAATCGAACCGCTTTTGAGAAAGGCACCCTTGTGCTCCTATCAATTTACAATGCAGTAATTCAATTCCAAAATAACGATATTTTGAAAATCGTCATATAGAAAAAACATGCGTGACTACTGCGAACCAATTATATAGTGAAGATATCAATATTATTCTGTAACTTTTTAGGGATCCCGCATTCTACATGATTCTTAAGAGGATAACACTGATTTTCCAAAGATATAAAAGTCACTTACCACCCTACACCCAGAAGGAGCTCAGTTTCCCTGGAGTCAAGATAGAGGACATACAAATCGATAAACTCGTTACATACTTCGATAAGTTTGAATCTGACGTTACCAACTTGGTGAGACTCACTCCAGATGAGATCAAAAAGGACAATGTTGTCATCAAAGTAAGTGTTACCCATGATTCCAAGCATGTCATATTTTAAACACCACACAGTTTTGTCATTCGCTAAGCTAAGTATTACGCTAAGGACTATTTATCCAAAGAAATACATTAAACGAAAACAATAACCAGCGTTTAGTTTCTTTCTTTGGTAAATGGACCATGGTAAGATATTTTCATCACTCCGAAAAATGTACATATTCAAGAAACACTTTCCGCTTGTGCTTTTTGATAATCGTTTGTTTTACCTAATTTAAGCAATATTTACCATTTTAGGTTAGACAAGACAGGCTTAACCACAAGCCATTCTCTTACAAAATCCAAGTTAGTTCGAAAGCCGACCAAGACGCCAGTGTTAGGGTTTTACTTGGTCCGAAACATGACGAATACTTCAGAGAGTTAAACATACAAGAGAATAGAATGAATTTTATAGAGCTGGACAACTTTAAGGTCACACTGAAGACTGGTTCAAATGTTATAGAAAGAAAAGACAGTGATTCGTATTGGTTTACTCCAGACAAGACCTCTCTGAGGGACATAATGAGGAAGGTGAGTTGTCCTACTATTTGAAGATGTAGGTAGAACATTTTAAAAATCATTATTTCAGTTTCGACGTCACTAGGCCAGGAAGTATTGTAATCGCGAAAAATCTCGAAAATGAGATTATGTTTTTTGCATGTTATATAACATGTACGTTACATTACGAAAAACCATGACACTCATTACCGCGTCTGCCTGTCGATCTGTCCGCTAATCACATAACCGCCTATAACGTGAGAAGTACCGCTCGGATTTTGATGAAATTTTTTCAGAATGTATTTTGTAGTTTTTGAAAATCGGTCCAGTGGCGGGAAACAAAAAGGTCAAAAACAAAAAAAATAAAAACCGGCCAATCGCCGTTTTTTGACGTGTCAAAGGTTCCTGATAATTTTCAGAAACATTTTTGTGGGGGTTGAATTTTGGCGGTTAGGGGTTGTAGGGAGTGAGGTAGGGTATATGAATGTTTTTGATCTCGGTATATGTATACGCTCCCAATTAGCCATATTTCACACATCAAAAATGTACCCCTATGTTTGTCTTTAAAACAGAATGATAGAGAAATGTTTACGATCCGCGTTCTCCAGCCTATCTAAGCACACCGCCCGGCGAACCAGTCCAGCTTACATACGTATGAATCAGCACTGAAGCGCAACCTTATACGATACGAAAGATAACTCGCTGCAGCGATGCCACGCAGATCTGGGAAGGGACAACGTTGCCACATGGTCGATAACTACCAGTACGGCAGGGAAAGAATGTCTATCGACGGATATATGTGCCTGACTTAATACGTTTAAGTTATCTGTTGTACATGTCCGTAATTCATTTTTTTCTCAGAGGATTCAAACTACGCTGAACTTTTAATGCTTTATCACTGATGATGGAGTTGCGTAGGAAGTACACAGTCAACCCACTTGACGACATTTTTTATTAGCAAAAACGTCGTTCAAAATAGTACCTCCCTCTAGATTGCAAGAATCAGTACTCTTCATCATAGACCGTCCAGAGCTTCAATAATATGATCTTGGTGTGCCTATCTAAAAGACAGTCCAAAAGTTTATGAGAAGAAGTCAAGCATGTAGTCTAGTTGGGATGATTATTTTGATCAATTTCCATGGATTAAACGAATCCACATGGCTATTGTGCTGATTTTACGTGGTGTGGGAGTTAAGTTACGAGAATTTGTTGATAAAAACCACCGAGCACCATATTTCTGTACGTGAACGCATTCTGTACCCACGTTGTACACATGGCAATTATTGGCAATTCCGGAGTTGAGACCATTTATGCGCGTTTTGTGTGTCACGACAACGTCGCGTGTATGCAATACCAGACGTGCAACAAGTCTTACCACGCTATTTCCATATAATACAGCGCAACTGTGATCAAGAGCGGTACCAACAGATGTCGAGACGAGCAGTCAGCTCGGTATGATTACCACTATCAGTCTTACACCTGGTGGCAGTCGCACGGCATGATCTAGAAATCGCGAGATAAGGAATGTCGTTAAACTGCTCCATCAAAATGTGCCACATTGTCTATGGCATAGTCCCCATTGCCTCATCACCCACTTCATTGAAATAACTCTTTCTAGCTGACAGACTCACTGCAAGGCGCAGCAGCCGATATCGATGCTTCCGAAGCCTTCTATGGCTTTCCCAACAGGCTGAAGTTGCCAATTGGCAGGCCAGAAGGTTTCGAATTCCAACTGCTGGTGTGTTTGAACCCTTACAAGTCACCAACTATCCAAACCAGTCAACAGCCTCCAACCTACTACTTCGGAAGGGTCGGCACTGGTTTCAACTACGTGGACAATTATGCGTTTGGATTCCCGTTGGATAGGATCATGGAGGATGATAGCCTGAACGTACCAAACTGTATGTTCAAAGATGTTACAATCTACCATACAGAGGACATAAACTCTTCTGCCAGTGGAGATAACAAAGTTTGAAATACTTTATTAGTACCTTTGTAATTCTGTGTACAATTATTTTTATATGAAATAGCTTTAAGTACAGACTTTTGTTTGTTTTTCTTACTTCCCACCGTACGTACATAAGACGTGCATTTTTAGGAAGATATTACGTCGTTACGTCCAGAGACATCTTATGTATGTACTTTTATGTCTCACAAATATAATTAATGCATTATTTCCTTTAGTGACCACATGGGCGTATATGCCATGTATATTAAATCTAAAAGAAAATTATATTTTATCCTATTAATGTTTTAAAAAAGGCCCTAATAAATTCCACCATATATCAGGTTTTGAATTTTCTTCTGAATTATTCGATGGCATAGTTGCCAGATCTCTGACAACTGTCTTAGATTAGCGAATCTACAGAGTTATTATAAAATAATCATCGGGTTTTAAAAATTTATATTTCAGAGAGTATTGCAAATATAATATCAAATGACATATCACTAGAAAAGGAAAATCTTCGAGTTTAAAGCACGTGCTTGCGAACGCCGCTTTACCTCCCTAGGTAGCGCCACGAGCTCAGTATACAAAATGGCGACTATGCAGCAGAAAGCGTTTTGTGTATTAGCGTACGCGCGATGTTTATCGGTTGTTACAGTGCAACGTGCATTCCGACGGCGGTATGGAACTGATTCTCCCGGTCATCAGAGCATTCTACGATGGTATCGACAATTCAAGAAGACAGGTTCCATTACTAAACGTAAAAGTACCGGAAGACCACGAGTTCCTGACGAAATGGTGGACGCAGTTAGACACAGTTTCACGCGTTCTCCACGAAAGTCCACTAGCAGAGCAGGAAGTGAACTTGGTATTTCCCAGCCAACCGTATGGAAAATGTTGCGGAAACGATTGCGATTCAAACCGTACCGTCTACAGATGCTACAAAGCTTACGACCTGACGACCACGTAAAGCGTGTATGGGCCGAACTGGGCTACCGTTTGGATATATACTAAGTGACATATAAATCCGAATACCCAGTTTAAATCTTACTGTAAATAATAAGTGAAAAAATTTTCAGCCTTATCAGTTGGTCATTCCGGTTTTTATACTGCTTTTTTTTAATTCACTAACGCTCTAAAAATGAATATTTCAGCCGCAGTAAAGAATCAACGTTGGCGGATTTTGGTTCTTGACATCCTTTACGATCGGTTACGATGCCTAGAGTACGGAGACCTGTACGATTTCGTCAACTTAGTGAGTTTGATAGGGGCCGTATAGTGGGACTTCGGGAAGCTGGACTTTCTTTTCGGGCAATTGCAGTTAGAGTGCAAAGAAGTGTAGACACTGTGGTTAGGTGTTGTCAGGCATGGCTTCGAGAAGGCGTACGCAAAGAGCAAGGGGCACTGGACGCCGCCGTAGAATAACAGACCGTGAAGATCCCCGCCTAAGATTATTGGCCTTAAGGGACCGTTTCTCCACTACCAGGTCCATTGCAAATGAATGGTTTGTAGAACACGGAAGACCTATTGGCATGCGAAGTGTTTACCGACGAATGAGCAGTTTTGGCTTGTTTTCATACCGGCCACACTGGGTCCTCCCTTTAACTCGAGAACACCGACGTAATCGCCTTGAGTGGTGCAGACAACTATCACTCTGGGATCAGGAATGGAACAGTATTGTCTTTAGTGACGAGTCTCGATTTTGTTTAGGTATGCACGATGGTCGTGCCAGGGTTAGAAGGCAACGTAGTGAAAGGAGGAATCCACAGTTTTTTGTTGAAAGACATGTTCATCACACTGTTGGAGTTATGGTTTGGGGTGCTATAGCTTATGGTTCCAGGTCACCTTTAATCTTCATCAGAGGTAACACGAACGCGCAGCGTTATATCCACGAAGTTCTAGAACCCCATCTTTTACCCTATCTTGACACCCTGGCAGATCCAACTTTCCAACAAGATAATGCCCGACCACATGTTGCAAGAGTCACAATAGACTTCTTTCAACATAATGATGTCACATTGTTACCATGGCCACCAAGATCTCCCGACTTATCCCCAATTGAGCACGTGTGGGATATGATGGGTAGGAGATTGCTCAATTTGCAACGTCCTCCTCAGACTCTACAAGCACTTCGAGAGGAGTTGGTGGTTGCCTGGAATGAGATACCACAGGAGGACATTGACCACCTGATCAGAAGCATGCCTAGGCGCGTTGGAGAATGCGTAGCACATCAGGGTGCATCCACACATTATTAAAGGTCAAAGGGCTTTAAAGCAGTGCAATCATTTTGAAATTTTTATCATTTACTTATTATGCTTCATTAAGTACTTACACAAAATTTTATTAAAATAAAACCATTTAAACTGGGTGTTCGGATTTATATGTCACTTAGTATATGTCTTGTGACGCAAGGAGCCCACATCGAACATTTGTAATAACATGCTTAAAATCTTGAATATTTTACCTTTCTATTGACATGTCGCTTACTGTTATATCTGTAATACCTTCAAAAATATATATTTTTAAAACCCCGATGATTCTTTTGTAATAACCCTGTATTAAGGAATTCTTTTGGGATTAGATGATTACAATGAACGTTGCCCTGAATAATTTGAAGATATGGGTGTTTTTAGAAGATTTTGTTATAGAAGCTTCTGCAACGGAGTGGGGTAGCCTTTGTTTAAATATAACATTGCTATTAACTCGTTTTTTCTCTTTATTAAATGTTGAACAGTATAAATCACAATAGATGACATGTCTTTTTTAATTTTGCAAACACACCGGGCTAGCTACTCTACACCATAGATTGGGTTGGAGGAAAAGTTTTGCGGATTTTGAAGTAAGCCTTACCTAAAAAATGGTATCCAAAAAACTCAGATGATTTGGGGAAACTTCAATTGACTCAAATCTTTAGCTATCAAGATCGTTTTGCAGAGCGCAGAATAGGTGGAAACACGAAAGTGCTAGGTCTAAAGTATACGGTGAGCGCTGCATTTCTTCCCAACTAAAGGTTTCATTGAATTCATTGTCTCATCCTGCTACCTGCTGCAGTAACTCAAAGAATAGAACGACCTTTATAATCGAACCATCCACACAGACCTCGAGACCAAATTGGGTTCAGTCTTCGTCTCCAGTAGTAACGCGGGACAAAAATGTGCCCTGAGAGTTCAGTTGTAGTAGCGCTTCGTTATATCAAAACTCGATTCATAATGCCGATTTAATATCTGATCATAGATACATTTACAGTATCACTACCAGTGGCGAATATAGAGCTTAAGTTAAGATTCGACCCATTGGTTCTGAGAGGGAAGGGCGCGGTGTAAAACTCGAAAAAAATCATGGGCTGCTATATCACCTTTCATTATTACGATTGTTTAAAATCGTAAACGGTCAACATATCGTGGAAAGAAATGTTTAAACATCCAATTTCCTATTAGACGTTTCGAGTGATGGACGGTTTTCAAGAATTTCACAATTGCCGGACACGGAAAATATTGAAAGGAATGCCATTTTGTCCCAAGAAAAACAACAACAAACATTTTTCAACTTCTACAGTGGAAACAATATAACTTTTACGAATGTTTTCAGATCTCTCGAATTCTGGTTTTTAAATACTTAAAAAACCTTAATTACCCCTTAAAGAGTTTGAAAATAGCATAATCGTGCTTTATCTAAAGAAAGTACCTAGAGTTTATACTTTTGCAGTGAAAAATACTTTCGTCTATTTTTCAGTATTTTTAAAGCCAGCGAATTCAAAAAGTATAGAATTGAATATAATGAAAAATAAACATATATCTCACTAGGAAAATCATCTGATTCATATTCCTATTATTAAGAAAGAAAGTGACGTGTCTTTCCATATATGTTTTACGCATAAGAAATGGAATGGAAAAAAATTAAAAACAGGTTTAAAATATTTTGCGGCTGCCAACTACGATTTTGAAAAATTTATACACAAAATTCGTCTCACATGTCGATATCTAATCACAAAGCGAGAAAGAAGAGATTAAAATGTCAAAGTACTTCTGGGTCAGAAGCTTGAATTGATTTATTGGGACCCTGAACTCGTTACTTGGAACAGATACAAATACTTGTCCTTAAAAATATCAAAATCGAAAGTTAGCATAGTACCCCTCCAAATCATGCCAATGCACACAGGTGCTTTCATAATTGGGCTTCTCCCTTACGAAAGCTGTAGCTACGTCCGTCACAACGAAATATTGGGCAACTTAAATACTGGCAAACTTGGCCAGAATGTGTACAGTATCTTGTACTGTTTTCGTGGGGGGCAGATCCCCCTTTTATATACGCCACTGATTGCCACCTCTATCAAAATCCGCAGAACTTTACTTACAACCCAATAAATATCCTACACAATAAATATCATATACACAAAGTAACCACTTTCAATCCATTAGCAATTATGAATTGAAAAACCAATAGCAGCTAAAAATGCCTATTTTAAAACAGCAACAGCATTCGACATTAAGTCTCAGAATTCAGTTCGTTCACCTCCAGGCATAGATTGTTTGTGTTTATTCTTGTTTTTCCAGCCCTTCTCAGGTGGTTCTTTCCAACCATAAGATATGGGACAGTAGCATGCCTTTGCCTGGGAGTCCAGATAAGATTTACATCCTAATGCTAGTGTGCTGGTGGAAAGCATCTTTGCAGCACCTTTACAAGCTAAAAATGAAATACATATAGTACCGTGAGTTCAGTGGTACAGAAAAAGTGTCACAAAGCATATACACTGAAAACCAAATTTGTCTCACGGCCTGAGTTCAATATGTACAAGAGAGAAGTGTGTACAGGCACATATATTAGAAGAAGATAGAAGCCGGCTGGATAGCGAAGCTCATCGCCACGTTACTTGGCAATCTGACGTATTGCCAGTTTGTTACACCAGTTTCTTGATCAAGATGCATATTGAAAATATGCATTAGTTTATTCTTTACGTCCAAATAATGGTTTTATTTTGAGGGAATACATTTTTAAATTATGACTTGTGTCGAATCTGTTTAGGATCGATTCCCGATCGGTTCTAACGGCGCTCCATTTTAAGTCGAAATGACAGGTCAGGTTCTCCACAAATTCTGCAACACTGCGTCATTGGCAAGATGTCCACCTCCATGATCATAGATGAGTGATTTTGGTCAGTTCTCATCTAGCGCTCATTGGGGAGTATCGTCCTGCTTCGAAATGGTTTCCACCTGCTTATACGAAGGCAGTGATAATTTGTATTGCGTAATGGTATTTGTTACATTTTCCGACCGCTCGCTATTGCAAAATGGGATGTGTTGATTTTATCACCATCGGGTCAAAATTGAAACAAATAATTTTAATCAAAATGGAAACAAAATATTGAATCAAATGTTCGAACAGACCTCCTTCGTGGGTTTGACAGTAACCTAACCTATTGTAGAAGCCTGTGCGAACATTTTCTGGTGTAACATATTGGCAACGCGGCAGATTGCACGAACTTCTGCGTCACCCTTGCTGGACAGACTTTGCTGACCCGCTGATGGCTTCTATCTCTTGCTAACATACACACTTATCGCGCTTGTCTCTCGTACAGATTAAATTCAAGCTATCAGACAAATTTAGTTGTATAATATACAACTGCGTAACTCTATACTAGGTAGGTGTTAAGCATAGTGTACAATACCTTTTACAATGGTATTTCCAGCTGTAGATGTTTCATGCATGTCACAGTACTTATATAGACATCGTTTGAACTCTACATCACACATTTCTTTGTCTTTTCTGCAGGTATCATAGCAGATGTCGTGCGCGTCACAGCATTTCTTCATTTCTGTAATCGGAAGATACTCCGATTTCAAATTTAATCCCAAAGAGCCGCAACCATCGGCTGTAGGAACATGATTTCTGTTGGGCTTTGGTTCTCCACCTGAAATAATATAGGTCATTTGTAGAGCTTTAATTCCACATTCATGTTCCAGTAGAAGAGAATACAACTTGCTATACAGGGTGGCCCATCCATGTGTGGACGGAATATCACTAATAAACAAATACATTTTGGGAAAATCTATGTATGGCATGTTATACATGACATTTGAGGTCACATTTCTAAAATATAGGCCATTATACAAGGTGTCCCAGTTCCGACCCACATATCAAAGTTGTGATTTATCAAATGGATTACCTCAAATTTTATTGCCTATTTGGATAGACCAATTCAAAAGAAGAAAATTGATATAGCTACTGAGATATAAGGTGTTTTGTCTAGAAAAACCCCCCACTTCGGCAACCCCTCAGTCCGCCATTTTGAAATTTGGAGTGCTGGATTTTGTATCAAAAAAAACCTACACACCTCAGCTTTTATCTTATTTGTTACTTTTTCGAATTTTAATTTTTGCTAATACAGGGTGGTCAAAAACGCCAATTTTGTATAAGCTTTTTTTTGGTATTCAGATAACATCACTATATTTTGAGTGATTAAGCTTTTAATACACACCAAAATTAAGGAAAAAAATATCATTCATGGAAACAAAAGATAAACAGTGGGCTAGTTCCATATTGCCACTAATAATACAGATTTGACGTAAAAACTAATAACAATTAGAACAGTATAAATCAGCTTCAAGCGTAAAAGAGAAAAACAACTATAACAACATAAACAAACAACTATCACTGTTCAAGACCTAATCTACAAAAACTGCTCGAAAATATCGCAACCATGTTGAATACTCAGCCTTAGGCTTTGGATAAATGCCCGTTGCACATCCCTCAGCATGTGTTCCCTTATGTTCAGAAAAGTATCCTTAATCCTTTCCTCCATATTTTCCAGGTAGATCGTGGATATCTATAAACCTCTTGCTTAACGCAGCCCCATAGAAAGAAGTCCATCGATGTCATATCTGGTGATCTAGGAGGCCAAGATATAGGCCCATCACGATCGATCCAACGATTGTTACTCCAGGTGTCCAAATAGTAACGCACATGATTATGATAATGCGCAGGTGCGCCGTCATCTTGGAAGTACATATGCATCCGAGTTTGCAGGTTGACATCCTCCAAAAGCAAAGGCACATGCTCGATCAAAAAATTCAAGTATTCTGTACCTGTTAATCTGTTTTCGAAAAAGAAAGGCCCGATAACTTGTCTGCCAATGACTTCTTCCCAAACATTCAAGCCCCATTTATTTTGGAAATCTGTTTGCCTAACCCAGTAAGGGTTTTCCGTCGCATAATAGTGCATGTTATGCCTGTTGACATGTTGACAACACCTATGCTGGTAAAAGTTGCCTCATCACTAAAATGAACCTTATCCAGGAAAGTAGTGTCTTCACTTTATTTAGCATTATTCTACTAAACTCCATTCGAGCTGCGAAATCTTGAGGACAAAGACCTTGATGCAAGCATAGGTGATATGGATGGTACCTATGCTTGTGAATAATCCTTTGGACAGAAGTTCTGTATATATCAGTTTCTGCTCCAATTTTCCGTGCACTTAAATGGGGATATTCCTGCAACTCCAATAGAACCTCCAACTGATTCGCCTCATTGGTGACATTTGGATTATTTATACATTTTTTACTATATTCCACTACTCCTCTTGATTTAAAACGTTCTCGTAGTGTGGAAAATCTTTCCTTCCTTGGGTGTCGCATATTAGGGTGCCGTTGCTTATAAATGCGGTATGCTAGGAAACTATTTGTTTGGGCTTCGCCCAAAACGAACACCATATTCACTATTTCTTCTTTAGAAAAATTCATTTTCAAACACGTTTTTATTATAATGCTCACAAAGCTAATTTTGACAGTTTGTCGAACGTTCAATGGAACATTTTCAAGAAGTTCTAGGAAAAAATGCATGGGGATTTCCTTTGTCCCAAACGTGGCTATTCCTACTATTAAAAATACCGTCTCTTGTGAAAGAGGCTTCATCGGACCATAAAACATAACGTAAAAAATTTGGTAGTGCAACGGTTTGATGAAGAAGCCATTGAAAAAATTGAACTCTAGGATGATAATCGGCTGTAGTCAATCCTTGAACTTTCTGGAAGAGCCGCGGATGAATAGCAATAAACTTTTTGTATCCGGATGCTGTCGTTCGGGATAACGTTCTTGATACAACCGCGCTGCTGCTCGTGCATTGCAGCTTGTTGTTCCGTATGCCAAATGCATATCCGCCAATTCTTGATTGGTAAAGTTTTCCATTAGCAACAATTAATTTTTGTTAAATTCTCGCAAACTTCACAAATACGATAGCACGACTAAGGCGATATGGAATGCAGCTACAAAAAACAATATCTGTTATCGTTTTTAAAGATAACAACACACAAGCGCCGGATATGGGTCCCTATACTCAAATCTTTTCTACTATTACACTGAATAACCCCTACAAGTTTGATCCCATCGTTCTGAAACACCCTGTATACAATTTTAATTTTTCTTTGCGTCAGTATATAATTTAAAAACGGAAGCTGAAGTAATGGACATATTAGAAACAATCTCTAAATATTTGCATGGACTAAATAGTCACGAAAACAAAAATTTAATAAGTACCAGATTAAAAGCAGAATTTGACCTTTGGAAGTCACGTACACAAGATATTATAGACAGTGGAATGTCACTGTATTTATCATGTGATGAAAACATTTTTCCCTCAATTTATACATGCCTACAACTATTGATTTCACTGTCGGTAAGTGTTGAGACATCTGAAAAAAGCTTCTCCCATCTAAAGAGGATAAAAACTTGGCTGCGCTCCACTATGTTACAAGAGCGATTAGTGGGTTTAGCTCTTTTGTATATGCATGGGGATATTAAAATAGACGTGAATACAATTCGTCACTTAAATGCAGAAGTATTCTAAGTCACAAAATGCAAATTTTACAGGAGAGCTATTTTTCGTATTTGTGTCTTGCCTATCATTTCTGAGAAATATTGAATATAGAATGTTTTACCGGATAAAAAGTATGACAAGTTCGTGAAAGTGGAGTTATATTTGTTGCTGACATTGGACTTACTGTAGTTCTGTAAGTGATAATCTGCTCTTATCATATTTCTGCAGCGAAATGACGCGCCTCAAGCTATTACGCCAAAATATCGTTCAAGACCAGTGGTGGGGGAACGCTGGCGCAGGGACTTACAATACATCTGCATGCAATGTAGGTGACTATGACCTACAATGTCGTGTTAAAATCTGAAAAACGAAGAATTTGGACATACAATAGTTCTGCATTCAGGCGACGAATCATAGACCGGTTCGCCAGCAAAAAGAATAGGCGCCTTGATTTTATATAATGGTAACACCTGAACTTTGCCTAAGATTGTCTCTCAATCAAGATATGTGGTTTTATTTATTGGCCAGCAGATTGATATAAAAGTCTGTTCAAATCACTTTCTAAGCTAATGTAATGATTGTTTTATTTTGAGACTGTGAACTGATGTAGTTTCATAATTTATATGTTTTTGTTTTTTGAGACTGTCTAAGAGAATGTAGTTATGCAATGAATATTTTTTGTTTTTTTCATGATTAAGAATTTTATTTTGATTTACAGTCAGTTTTATACTTTATAGAGGTCGTAACAAATTTGTTGTTATTTTTTTTATGAAGATGTATTTTTGTTGTTTTGTCTGACATTGTTATGTAGAAAAGTCTGTGATAGATTATATTATTTTGCATTTTTGTTTTAATATATGAAGATTGCTCGAGCACTTTGATTTCGTATGATTCAAAATAAAAAAAAATTGTATGTATTTTCTACAGAAATTACTGTAACAAATTCATATGTCTGCATATGTCCATGCTTTTAATGTTTAATCATTATAACACTTCAGTACGTCACACTGAGAATTTACTTTCCATTATAAGGTTGATTCTCACTATACATTCCGTTTCCATTCCATATCAGTTTCGTAGACGTTCCGTACAATGTGATTGTATACACAGTATACCTTACGGATAATGTGCATATACACGCAATAGCCTGCTTTAAGCGAAGGCGAATATTTGATTTCAATAATTTACGGAACGGTTACGGAATGGAAACGGAATGTATAGTGAGAATCAACCTTTACCCCTCCCAGAGTGAAATCCTGGGAGCGCCACTGATATCCGACAGTAAACTGTTCTGGTACACAAGAATTATCAATAGAGATTTTTTCGCGAGATCCCGGAGTGAACCGGAGCGGGAACAGATGGAATTTCCCCTTCCTCTCAAAGTTTTGACAGTTTCAAGTTACACCGGGAGTGGTTAGATGGCGCATGTTGCGCAAAAATGTTTGCTTCAAGCTCCTTGATAAACTTAGGTGCCTTGTTTGAATCTGAAATAAAAAGACCAATCGTTTTTTGTGCAATGTACATATATATCAGTATCTAAAATCAATAATTTGATATGACAAGTGCGGTTCATATATCTTGGATGACCTTCTCCCTCGTCATTTAAAATCAGGTGGACGTGTTCCTCCATTTATGATTTAATAATTTAACTCAATTTTCGGCACTGCGAAGACAAATTTTCAATTGAGATGCCTGTTTTTAAATGAAATTGACATAAGACCTGTCACCCGCTAGTACCTCACAGACGTTCGGCAGGTACCCGTACCACGTGATTTTTTGACATTTGGACGACGTCACACCCGTCTTCCCCTATTCTCGTTCCTCGCGAAAATTTGGGTATCAGTTCCCCGTGGACTCGCGAAAAAATCCTTAATGTATCGTTCTCCGCGGTGAAATACCATAAGCAAGTAAGTTAGTAATAACAAGACGGATACAAAGGGAATTTTGAAAATCATTTTGTATTAGACTTCAAAGTAAGCTTTGCAAGGAGAATTTACAGTTTCGTCTCTCGTTGAAAGTAAATTTTTGAACGCTCAAATTCGAACTCCCGCCAGATTTTTTGAGCACAAGACAGATACAAAGGGAATTTTGAGAATTATTTTGTATGAAATTTCAAAGTCATACCAAACTTTGCAAGGAAAATTTCCCGTTTCGTCTCTCGTTGCAAGCAAATACATCTGAAGTATCATGGGATGCTAAATTTGAACATGACCGTCAACCGTGAATCATTCTGGGGCTAGGTTTGAGATGAAAAATAGATCGCTTGGAACAGGGTGAATGTGCCAGTAACCCGGACACTAGCAGTAGTTGGACAAACGTTATATTCTTGGAAAAACTTGAATATTTTAAATAATATACTTGCTGGTAATTGGTACCAAATTTACCGACTAATTTGTGACAGTTTACAAAAATTTCAGATCCACAGTTGTCATATTGACAACTGTATTAGCGCATCAAAAAGAGCATGCACCCAATTCCTCAATTTTTGTCAGTTGTGTAGTGAGTGACATAAACTTTAAAGGCAAGTAGAATCGTCAGCTGACAATATTTATACCAAGTTTACATTCAGCTCAATTGGGCAGGGAACTGAGCAGGGAAGTTGTCAGCGTGAGAATGTAAACACGTTCCTTGCGCTGCCACTGCTCCTGCTGCTGCCATTGCCCGGCGCTCCCTCAATTGTCGGTTTTTCGTGCGGAAGTCAAAGGACTGACAGCGCGAGCGCGAGTGAGTGTTTACATTCAACCAGTAATACATTCCACCGTCTCGCTCACTTGCTGTAGGTTGTGCGTGTGTTTTCTAGCCTGTTGTCATTTTTTTATTTAACTTGGTGTTTTGCGATATTCTGTGGGTATTTATAATGCCACCGTCTCCGCCACCCCCGGAGTGAAGCAATGAGAAAATAATTAAGTTCTTGGAACTGTACGCAACTGAGCGAGTGATATGGGATCCATCTGATAAAAGTCATAAGTTAAAACATAAAGTACACGATGCTTGGAATCGCATCAGCAATAGATTGGATAATACTCCAATAGAGGACTTAAAATCGAAGAAGAAATCCCTTATGGCCACGTTTCGACCTCTATTAAAGAAAAAAAAAGCTTCCATTCGTTCTGGAGCAGGTGCTGACGATGTGTTCCAGCCAATATGGTTTGCTTTCGAAATTATGGAGAGCTTTTTGGGATCGCTTTATGACGTTGCGGAGACTATAAACACGGAAGACACGGTAAGTTCATTCATATATTAAAAAAACACCTGTTATTGTTGTAACAATAATTTATTAGGTAGTTATTAAATATCATCTACTCTACTGTATTTATATTATGGAAATAATGACCAAATTCAGTTCGATTTCGCAAATATTTCTTTGCGAGCGTCTTGGCACATCTGCTATTGGCGTAATAGCTGAAGTCTCTGGGTTGGTTTGTATTTGTCTCCAAGAGCCATCCACCTGAAAGAAGAAGAAATTATGTAATAACACACAGGTCATAGTTACTAGTGGTACATTTTCTATGTCAATTTCGATTGGTTTTTTAAAAATTCGAAAAACAGTAGTTAAAACACCGAAAACATTTTCAACAATGACACGAGAACTTGAAAGTTTGTAATTGAAAGCACGTTCCATTGTGCCACTATTATGATTACCTGGAAAAGGTTTCATTATATGTTTATGTAATGCAAAAGCTCCATCACCAAGAAATACATAGGACACATATGTTTGTCTTCCGGGTAATGAGGCATCTGGTGGCAAATTAATAGTATTTGTGTCAATTTTTTGCCAAAGTAAAGAGTTTCGAAAAATCCCCCCATCACTAATGCGCCCCTGGCCGCCGATGTTCGCAAAAGTAAAACGGTATTGACTATCCACCAAAGCCATTAGTACGATGCTATGCGTACCCTTAAAGGTATAAAATTTTGAGCCACTGTGTGCTGGGCGATTAATTACGATGTGCTTCCCATCTATAGCTCCAACGCATCGTGGAAACTTATGTCTAAATCCCTCTTCTATATGTAACCATTCCTCTGGTGTTTGTGGTAACTGCAAGAAAGACAACATTAAATATACATTAAAAATAAAGAAAAACTATACAACATATATATATATATATATATGATAAATATACAAATAATACTTTTTTTTCAGACTTTACATAGTGAAGATATGCCAGCCCCACCTCAAGCGCCAATTCAGCCTCAACAAGCTGTCGAAATACCACTTTCATCGCCATCACAGTCAATCTCATCGCGACCACACACCAAACCAATCAAAACCAATAAAAAAGCAAGCCTCAATACAGATGAAGCACAAAATAAAATATCTGAAAGTTTGGACACTCTGAACCATGTATTAAGAGAAAAAAGAAATTATGTGAATGATGAAGATGAGTGCGATATATATGTGAAACTTTTAGCAAAAAGGTTACGAAAATATCCGGAGTCAATGCAACAAATAGTCATGTACCGATGGCTTGCTTTTAGAAATTCCTTGTCCCGTTGAACGACCATCAAGTGCCTACTCATCTCAATCGTCGCAATCACAACTTTCCGATTGCCAAATGTTAACACAGTCTCAAATGCATTCTCCACAACTTTATGCCATGCAACCATCACGATCTGTGAATTCTCCAGTACCGATCAGTATCCCGGAAACAAATTGATAATATCATTGCAAAAGCATAGATACTGGAACGCTTCCCAAATGTAGGAAATTGTATTAAGTTATGTGTCTAATGAATACTGTTCTTTTATTAGACATTAAATACATATTTTGTGATTAGATTCCTACTTTTATTACTTACCTTAATTTGATCCTTCAGAACAGAGTTGATAGCTTTGCATACTTCAGGAACCATTATCGAAATAGCTGCTGTGGAAACCTTGAATAAGTAGTGGAGACTTCGATAACTATCCCCCGTTGCTAAATATCGTAAAGTTATTGCCAAACGTATTTTTGGTGGTATGGGTATTCGTAGTCTAAATATCATTATTCACACGCTTGTTTGTTGTTGTGTTCAATCTGTAACGGCTAAACGGATTTTTTATATTTTTCTTGAATAACATAAATACCAAAATGTAGGGGAATTTGTAGTACTTACGTCGTTCTATTACGGTGAATTGCTAACATCCACCATCTCCTTCGTCGACGGCATCTTTTTCTTATTCGATTTCTTTTCAAAACACTTAAATAGTTATATATACTGAGCAAACATAACGCTGTCGCCGCAACAACTTCTACGTCCGCCATCCCTGTGAGTTGAAAAGTGCAGGCTGAATGTGAACACACACTCACGTCGATGCTTCTGCAGAAGTTTGAAATGCAGGGCAACGGGCAGCGCGAGTAGCAGCGGCAGTGGCTGAATGTAAACGTGGTTATAAATTCTGTTCTTGTTACATAAATGCAGAAGACGTTATTACGTTTTTTGAACATTTTGAGGTCCAATTGGAGTGGCCGCTGACTGGATCATCATACCTACTAGTCAAAATGGGGTGGTCGTTATTAATCTATATTTTTCTCTCTAAACATAGAGACTATCTAACTTCTCTCTTGGAATTAAACTAACCAAATTTCAACTTGAGCCCCAGCCAGTGGGCGGTCATTGAAAGTTGACAAATAATGTGGATTATTGCCAGTGATATTGTGTTCGACTACCGGAATGAACGAGTTTTCATAGCGTCCCAATAACCAGCCACTTCCATTTCCCGCCATTTTTCCACGAGACTGAGAAATAAAATTTCACATTTCCACTTCATTCGGGAATGGATACCAAGAAAAAATAAATTGTGTAAAAGAAGGCAGCTTAAAGGAGACTATCGAAGCTGTGAGAAATGTTGGGAAATTGCTTGAAATAGGTGAACAGTATGGTAGTTCAAAATCGACAGTGCAGGACCGGTTTAAAGGAAAAAATTAATCTCTTCTTCATTTTTATCTATACTAAGTGACATATAAATCCGAACACCCAGTTTAAATGGTTTTATTTTAATAAAAGTTGGTGAATGTATTTATCTTACTGTAAATAACAAGTGAAAAAATTTTCAGCCTTATCAGTTGGACATTCCTGTTTTTATACTGCTTTTTTTTTAATTCACTAACGCTCTAAAGTAAAGAATCAACGTTGGCGGATTTTGGTTCTTGACATCCTTTACGATCGGTTACGATGCCTAGAGTACGCAGACCTGTACGATTTCGTCAACTTAGTGAGTTTGATAGGGGCGGTATAGTGGGACTTCAGGAAGCTGGACTTTCTTTTCGAGCAATTGCAGTTAGAGTGCAAAGAAGTGTAGACACTGTGGTTAGGTGTTGTCAGGCATGGCTTCGAGAAGGCCGTACGCAAAGAGCAAGGGGCACTGGACGCCGCCGTAGAACAACAGACCGTGAAGATCGCCGCCTAAGATTATTGGCCTTAAGGGACCGTTTCTCCACTACCAGGTCCATTGCAAATGAATGGTTTACAGAACACGGAAGACCTATTGGCATGCGAAGTGTTTACCGACGAATGAGAAGTTTTGGCTTGTTTTCATACCGGCCACACTGGGTCCTCCCTTTAACTCGAGAACACCGGCGTAATCGCCTTGAGTGGTGCAGACAACGGTCACTCTGGGATCAGGAATGGAACAGTATTGTCTTTGGCATGCACGATGGTCGTGCCAGGGTTAGAAGGCGACGTGGTGAAAGGAGGAATCCACAGTTTTTTGTTGAAAGACATGTTCATCAGACTGTTGGAGTTATGGTTTGGGGTGCTATAGCTTATGGTTCCAGGTCACCTTTAATCTTCATCAGAGGTAACATGAACGCGCAGCGTTATATCCACGAAGTTCTAGAACCCCATCTTTTACCCTATCTTGACACCCTGGCAGATCCAACTTTCCAACAAGATAATGCCCGACCACATGTTGCAAGAGTCACAATAGACTTCTTTCAACATAATGATGTCACATTGTTACCATGGCCACCAAGATCTCCCGACTTATCCCCAATTGAGCACGTGTGGGATATGATGGGTAGGAGATTGCTCAATTTGCAACGTCCTCCTCAGACTCTAGAAGCACTTCGAGAGGAGTTGGTGGTTGCCTGGAATGAGATACCACAGGAGGACATTGACCACCTAATCAGAAGCATGCCTAGGCGCGTTGGAGAATGCGTAGCACATCAGGGTGCATCCACACATTATTAAAGGTCAAAGGGCTTTAAAGCAGTGCAATCATTTTGAAATTTTTATCATTTACTTATTATGCTTCATTAAGTACTTATACAAAATTTTATTAAAATAAAACCATTTAACCTGGGTGTTCGGATTTATATGTCACTTAGTATAGTTCGTATGTATGTTTGATAAAAATAGCTATATTAAATGGACTCAGTATGAGTGTGTTTAATTACTTTTTCTCATAGTCTTAATGACAACTGATTTGGAATTGATATTCTTGTATCACAAATTTTTAAATGCGGGTCTATAGCACCTTTTTGGTTAATGTTTTTTTGTAAAATTATAGGAATATCTATAAGTAATGTACAGGGTGCGGCAGAGAGGATGGACAGTTTTAAAAAAATCATAAAATAGTTAATTTTTACTCGAAAACAAATTTATTGATGGAATCAGGTTCACAAGGAAATAGCATTTAAGACAGTCAAGTGTGGAAAATCACATCAGTCATGTGGTGGCCGAAATCGTTGATGCAGTGCTGGAGGCGTTCTTGGAAGTTCGCGTAGACTCTCTCCAACATCGCTCTCTCAACTTGGGCGACTTCCACGCGAATTTCGCCCTTCAATTCGTCCAGAGTTCGGGGCTTGTTCGCGTATACTCTAGCCTTACTCACTCATAAACAGAATGAGGTTCTCATTTTGATCGATCAGTGCTTCCATCTCACGTGCGAAGTTCATTCGTTGTGCATAATCTCCGGGCTGTAACTGTTGCATAAAAGCCAATTTGTAGGGGTGAAAGCGGAGATCCATATGCAAAATTCGCCTTACCGAACGATCACTAAGGCGAAGTGCAGCAGCATGTTTACGGGCAGATCGAGTCAGACTGCGAAGAAAGACCTGTCGAACCCGTTCAACATTTTCAGGAGTTCGAACTGTTCGCGGCGCTCCTCTTGGTCTTCTGTTGATCAGTTCACCACGCCTGCGAAGTGATTCAATGCAACGAAGGATGGTGTTTCGAGAGGGAATAGCTCTATTCCGATGAATGTTGGAGTGGCGACGAAACTCACGCTGTACGACGATTACTGACTCATTATTTCGGACTAAATAATCATAGGCAAAAACGCGGTGCTCCACCGTCCAAGGTTCCATAACGACAACTGGTAAAATGTAAAATAATGCTAGGATCTCACGAGTCAAACGGCACCCTCCCCACCTCTCTCGTAGACGGAGGCGAAGAGTACTACCCATCCCAAAAACGTCCGTCCTCTCTGCCGCACCCTGTATTTATTGTCGGCGAAAAGTTGACAAAGTAAATATGATCACTTCTTATGTTTTTAGTTGTGTCAACTTGAACATAAAATCCGTAATTATACTTTGTATTCCACTTTTGTATAAACTGTCCGACCACTGGTATACCCGCCCTACCGTATGTGGTCTAGAGTCAAATTATTAACAGATTTAGAATCCTATTTCATTCAGAAAATAATCATCATAAGAGAAAAAAAATAATACCTACGACTTGTTACAAGCAATTAAGTTCATGTAAAATAGGATGCTGAAATCAAATACAAGTAAACCCTATTATTACTCTATTTCACGAGTATCCATTACATTTTGGCGTTTACTCAGGTGAACAGCTGATCAGCAGGTGACATATTTGTATTTGTCTGTAAAGTTGGCAATAATGAATCGGTGTAACTCTGGTAAAACCTAGGCCCGTATTCAGAGCTGTTGTTCATATTTCATATATCATATATACTTTTAGTGACTGGAAATGTTGACAATGAAATATATATGAAGTACATATAGAATTTTTTATTAGAAAGTTACTATAGTACATCTGAGATTTATTTTATGTGGTAAGTCATTAGAACAGACAGTGTTGTCCTTTCCAGTAATTGACGTGGAGATGATTTTCAAAGTCAAAAACTGTTTATCTTATTTTATTCCTACCTGACATGTAGTCATGATGGTTAGTAGCCATTTTGCTTGTAGCGTTTTTTGTATGCGCAGGAATTTTTCTATATAAAAGAGTTATCAAGTACAAAATCAATCCATAGCATACAAAAAAATCACAACAAAATACGGCTCCATCTACCTGTAACCTCTGTCACTGGTCGACATGGGAAATTCTGAAATATTACTAGAAAATCAGCTGTTATTCTACCACAATTGATACTCCTGAAAAAGACAATATATGACCATCAAATAATGGTAGGTGTTGTGTGACTGATCTTGGGTGAAAGAATGGGTCTCTCAAAACAGAAGCATATTAAAGTATATGACATATCTACTTGACATTAAACCCAAAATCATATTAAAAAGTATTTATTTTATGCATTTCTAAAAGGAATTTTACCTAATTAATAACAAGTGTTGTATAAGAAACTGTACAAATTTATATTTTCTTAACCTAATCAAAACTTAATATTTAATTGTAACAAAAATATAACTATTCAACAATTTGATTACAAAATTGAATTGATTCATTAATCACAGTCTAAACAAAAGTAACTAATGTTAAAAATTTAGTAAAGTAGGTACGTAATTTTTCTATCTACAATAAGGTACTACCTCCATTCCTTTATCATTAAGTATAGTAAAAGCTTGTATCAAATTCATGATCTATAGGAAAATTGGATACAAACTCTAAACTAGGAATACAAAGCTTTGAATGTTGTTTCATCATATGAAACCAGTTTGTACAAACATTGACATTTTTACAGTGAAAATATGATCCCCAAACAGTAGAACATAAAAACTGCTCATCAGGATGCCATTTCTCCTCAAAACCAATAGTTTTCTCAGCTTCAAGTTCTTCACAAACAGCAACTGTGTCACATTTTGAATGGACATGAGGTGTATAAATGTCTTGCACTAAATTATCTCCTACATAAAGCACTTTTGGATCTGTGGCATTTGACAATCCCTTCATAACTTCCTTCAAATCACTCCAATTGCCATGCGTATAAATGCCACCCTGTTTCAACTCATTATTTGGTACAGGGCCTGTCTCTTCGGTTCCATTCCAGCCAATGAAGTCTCGCTTCATGGTAAAGAATCCTGGTTTTTTCGCATAACAGACCACAATATCGAAAAAATCTTGCCAATTCGGTCCAATGGTAATGCCAGCAGTATAGGAAGCAGAATCAACATGTGAACCAGTTATCAAGAACAGATGTTTACCACTGTGTTTTAAGCTAGTAAGCCATTTCAACAAAGTGTCACTACATTTATAGTAATACTTTTCAGGGTGCTGTTTAAGCTCTGGAAAATATTCACCATAATTTTTTTGGAAATGATCTCTGTTAAACATATACACCAAAGAGTCCAGAAAATCTGGCCAAATTCCATATTTCATCTGCTGTTGTTGTTCATCAATTGAATCTATGGCCCTTGCATAAGCCAAGCTCACAACAATATCAAAGTAGTCTAACAAAGTCCTCATCTTTTCAGAATAAGGGCCATTCCATGTTTGGAGTGGGTCCTCAGTAAACAAATCTGTTGCAATCCAGTGTTTATTAGGATAATATTCCCTTATTTCTTCATCTGATAAAAGCCTTGTCCCATGTGTAGCCTGTATTATTGTAGCGTCAGGTGCAATTCTTATCAGATTCCCATTTTCATCATCTACAATCAGTCCTCTGATGATGAAGTTGTGATCAAACGGTTGAAACAGATATTTTTCAGAGTATCCTTTATTTTTTACAAGATAATTGGTTATGATCTTATATTCCATTTCTATCATATTGCCCACTTTGTACCTGGCCAAAGTGTTGTCCAAATCGAATCCAATACAATCATAGTTTGAAAATTTGAATGTCTTCTGCATATTCAGCCGATGATTTGTTGCTAATGTTCTGCAAGATAACTTTAACCGTGGTCTACTGCTACCTAACCACGCCACATTGCATATTTTAATTAAAAGGGGTCTTAAGCGGTAGGTAACGTTACCCTTGGAAAAAATCAACATTTTTTAAGTGAAATACATACGAGAAGTAATAATGTCAACCACAGACCAGAGTACATGACACTTAAACGCTTGACAAGAAAAATCTGATTGATCAATCGACAAAAAGCTGGCTAGTCATTGGTTGTTAAACCACGCCCCTTTCCTTAACCTCTCAACGCTTTTTCAGTGCATGTACCCTATTTCACGAGTATCTATCACGGTAGAATGACAGCTGATTATCTAGTAAGATCTCAAAGTTCCCCATATCGACACAGGACACATAATTCTGACGGATCCGTCAACGCCAGGTAGTCAAAGCCGTATTTTGTTTTGGTTTTTTGTGCGCTACAGATTCATTTTGTACTTGTTAAGAGCTCTTTTATTTAGAAAAGTCTATTTGTATACAAAAAAACGCCACAAACGAGTTTTACTAGATTTATACCCAATTCATTATTGCCAACGTTGTAGACCTAACACAAAAATGTCACTTGCTATACTCGTGACGTTAAATGGGGTTGATGTTTTGTGCTTAAGAGCAAAGTTGTCTGTCACAGCAAGACCACAGATTATACAGATGTGACACCTGCTGTCGGTCCCTTTCCCTTTAATCTTCGTGTCCCCAATTACATTTCCCGCTTATGTTCATTAGCGCCCGGAGGATTTTTTTCCCAGGGGGTTGATACTCGTTATTAGCAAGACGTCACGAATGTCATATATCAAACAACATAATAAAGAAATTTATTTGTGTTCATTTACCCACATGCATTTTGGCGAGATAATAATTATTATTTCTTAAAAAGCTATTTATATATAGTATTGATAAAACTCAATAATCAAATCCAAGCGAATAACCAAAATTTCTGTGTTATGTACCACGGTTATAATATGGTTCAATATGACACACGGGTTTTTGACGTCAGTTGCTCGAATCGCTTGAACGCGTTGGTTTTAACCGCGATTTTGTTGCAAGTTGTTTATTTTAGAAAAGCGCATATATGATTTCTGACTATTTTTATTATCACTTAATAATAGGTGCTTTTTCGTTTACAACAGTGTATGGAAAGCTTAAAAAAGAAACCAGTCATAATATTAATGGGAGAAATGTGTTTTTTTCAGAAAATAATTTTTAATGATGGAACCATGGCTTTGTAGCTATGATAACTCTCAATTCACTAAACTTTGCCACATGTCAAAGAAAACATTTATTGATTTAGCAGTAATGATAGGAAAAACTGTATACAGGTGGACATTATCCCACTGGATATGGATGATGAGTTTATATGGCCATATTTTAATATTCTTGTGGTATATGGCACACAGGATACTTTGTTAAGCATAGGAACTAGATTTAAAGTGTCCCCAACAACAGTAATGATTATAACTAATAAGTTGCTCTAATTTAAGCTAAAACTGAAGTCAGCCTGTATCAAGTTTCCCAAAGATGAAGCTGAAGTACAATAAAAATATCCAATACCCGGCAAAATTCTAACTTGTCACATTTCAAATAATAACCAGAAATATAAAACTACTCCTGAGTTGGGTAAATACCACAATACCAACTACGACATATAACAGCTGATTCATGACGTCACGGATCTTATAACCAAACTGATAACCACACTCGCTTGAACGGATCGGTAAATACCAATCCAAAATGGTAAATACCATTTTCATTTGGTTATCCGCTTGAATTTGATTAATGTTTTTCTTAGCCCCTAAATTCTAAATGTCATAGCAACACGAATCCCACCAAACGCATAGGATTCAAGTTGGCGTTAATAGAACCTGATTTTTGACAGTCGCATCTGCTAGTACTCTGTGGCCTTGAGTTCTATGCGTTTGGTGGGATTCTTGTTGCTGTGACATTTAGGGGTTATCCGAGGAATGTTTTGACACGTGACCACAAAACAGTTTTATCACTACAAATCAAGTATCTGGCCTAAATGCTTTTGGGGAAATAATAAACACAAATTTCTTCATTCTGTAGCTTGACATATGACATTCGTGACGTCAAGCTAATAACGCGTAACAACTCCTAGGGAAAAAACATCCGGACGCTTATGAACATAAGCAGGAAATGTGGTAAGACTGGTAAGCAGTTGGGGACATGCAGATCAAAACGACCGACAGCAGGTGTCGCATCTGTGTGGCAAGGCTTTAGATGTTGCCATTAAATAGCATGTAATTAAACCTTCTTCACTGGATGACATTTGGGGCAAACAAATGTCTGCTTTTGTGGAATTTTAAAGTGGCCATGATACATACCATCTTATCCCTTTCTCAATTATAATAAAACTAATAGGCACCCATAAAAGCTTATTAATCAACATCTTCCAAATATCCATGTTAAGAATGAGATCCTTACCATTTGGGCACTTAAAGATGCATTCCTCTTCGACAGCCGCATCAAAAACATCATGCAGAGATCTAAACTTTCTGGCAATATGAATGGCATTCTTCAATACATCTCCAAAAACAGTTTCTGCACTGAGCACCGCATCTCTCAAATTAACTAGTAGGCCCGATCCATATCCCGAAAAAATGTACACTAGGAAAGTCAGTAAATATACTAATATCTTTCCATAGGGAATTTCCATATTTACGCGATGCAAGTCACCTGTACGAATTCCAAAATGTTCTACGATCACCAAAACAAATTTTTATTTTAGGGTCTTAAAGCGAGGTTATGTTTACTTCAAACACATCACCCTCACCTTTGGCACGCGCTGGGTGTACGTGGTACTCTGTTATTAGCGATTATGTATTTTATGGTCACAACCATTAATTTGCCAATTAACAAAAACACCAATTAACCAGTGGTATATCTAGTGGATAATAGTGCATAATAAAGGACTAATATTTGTTCTTTTAAACGAAAAACGCCAAGGCCTTCAATTTATTCGTTTGTACAACATTTTGTTTATGAACATTAATAAAAAATCACAATAAAATTTGAACTATTTTAGAAGAATATTTCTCACGCCACCATGTTTTGTAGCTCCCCCTTTTCGTACAGCTGTTTTACATCTGAACCACCACCCAAGCAATTTTCTCTGACAAATACACGGGGAACCTAGAAATACATAATTGATATAGACAGATGTGGCATGGCAAATGATCTCGGGCTTACTGTTTTTGCACCCGTTATTTCCCCTAGAATTTGCTGAATCTCTTCTCCATCATCCCTTTTATCCAATTCTATAACAGTGTATTTCTCTTTGATCTTTTCAAAAACCTAAAACAACAATGTTTAATTTACATGAGAAATCTTAACATGATTACAAGCAAACCCCATCATTTTCCAGTATAATTGGATATTTACCTCTTTAGCCAGTTTGCAATAAGGGCAATATGTCTTTGAAAAGATAACCACCTTGTCACTCTTGATGAGTTCTTGTACTTCTTTTGCTTTTGGAGAAGACATGTCCACTGCCATATTTGCACTGAAAACACCCCTTATATTATTTAAGAGAAAGCTGAGTACATCCAAGCATTTCCAATACAAATAATTAAGCAGCGCCATTAGGAAAATTATAACAAAAATAACTGGGTTCCAAGGAAATATTACTCACCAAGTAACAATTTGAGTCTACCAGTGACGAGTCACGACGGGATTACGTGTGATACCCTTGTAAAACCGGATTTTATTGAAGTGATTGTGTGCGTGTGTGGTGATTGTTGACAATCAATTTTCAAAAGTACGGTTAGCTGCTATGGGGGAGGCACAGATTATAGACAAGGCGGGGATCATCGATCCAACCACTTCCCTTCCTGATGCCCCCGATATTGTGCCCGCTGCCAGATATTATATCATCGGTCTTTTATTTATTTTGTGAAGATATCTGATAAGTGCATAATGAAACCAAATTGATAGTCATAGCGGATTAGTAATAACATTAACGCATGCGCATCTATTTTGAATAAAAATAATCATTAGGTATTTGTCTCCTTTTGCACTCGTCCTTACAGTGGCGTAACAAAATGAGGAGTCAGGGTAGCGGCAAATACAGACGACGAATATACCTCAGTAGCTCAAGGTGGTCGATATGTTTTGTTCATTGAAGTCTGTTAATGAGAAAATATAGTTTTGATTGAACCTAAATCGTATAATTCAATTTTACTAGCAGTTCAAGTTGCTCATCGATCCTTTCTCTTCTAATTATTGAAATTTGAAATGAACTTGACCACGAGGTTCACCTACCTGTAACTGTCCAAAATACTGACGACACGGTTATCAGAGGCAGATTTCAGCACTTAATAATTGTCTGACAGCAAATTGTCATTGGTTGACTTGATGAGCGTTGAAGATATACAATTTGGGGGGGGGGGGGGGGTTGTTCGTCTCACGATTCAGGTCTACAGTATATTCAGATAAGAGATAGACCGGATGTAAACAAAAGGTTCGGGTGATTTTCACGCTAACGCTGCCGTCTCGACGTAAAACAGGAGCCCTCATTGGTCAATTCGCAATTAAATGCCTATGCCGAGCGGCAGAGCAGTCGTATCAAGGCAGAGTCACATTCAGGTTCAGACGTGTTACGTATGTCGTGTGCATCATTGCAATTTGATATTTCTTTGGACGTTTTCGTTTGTTATCTTATTAAGTTGTTGAGTTTGTCGTTATTGTTATACCTTGTTATTGATTGTTATTGTTATCAACTGCTTGCGCAAAATGCCCAGTAGTACAGATACTGCCGATGAAGTTGTAAACTCCTGTAGTCCACCTAGGAAACGCTCTAAAAAAGACACCTGAGTGCAGAAATGAAAGAGGTCATTTTGAATATACTCGTATATAAGATCGAGCGCGAGGAGAACGAGGCATCAACCATCAAAGAAATTGTTGTGAAGGTTTCTCACAAAGTTGGGGTGTGTCGCGCATCAGTGTTTAATGTGTTAAGACAATACAAAAAAAATCACACCTTTTCTGAGCCAATGACCAGTAAACATCGCAAAAGTATTGTTAAATCATTGGATGAAGCTGATAAGCATGCGATTAGGAGGAAAGTGCATGAATTCTTCTTTAGGAATGAATTACCTACTATAGATAAAGTACTGCAGGAGGTAAATGGAGATACAACGTTGCCAAATTTCAAACGATCAACTTTCCATGCGTTACTGAAGCATTTAAATTTCAAATGGAAAAAACGGGGTCGTAATAGTTTACTACTGGATAGAGAAGAAATTGTGCTATGGAGGAGGGATTATTTAACAAAAATTGGGAAATATAGAAATCAAAACAGGAAGATTTATTACCTTGATGAAACGTGGGTAAACGCAGGACACACTACAAGTAAAGTATGGGTTGATGATTCTGTAACTTCAACCAGGAGGGCCTTTCTAGATGGACTGTCCACCGGATTAAAAAATCCAGCAGGTAAATGCGAGTAATAGACAACAATCGGATGTTTTTCAAACCTTGGGAACAAGGTTCTAAACATTAATTCCAGGGGGCAGATAAAACATATTACAAGTAACAAAACTTTTATAACTTTCGATAAAATGCGTGGATGTTTTATTGTCATTTTCATTTGTTAGAACTTTTTTAAGCCATGTTTTTATGTGTTTTCGATATTTCAATAATTTTTTAATATAATCTTAAAATATGTCGAATATTAAACTTAAAAAAAGTTACTAAGTTTTATATTGTGTACCGTTCCTAATATTTCTAATCATTTTAATTCATACTTTAAGCTTTATAAAGTTATAATTTGTTAATATTAATATTTGCGCGTATTTCAGGTTCCTGATCATTCATTTTTTAAAGGTTTATAACTTTAAATTAAATTGTGAAGCGCTGAGTAATCATACGACGTTCAATATTCTTTCTTTCAATATGACTAAATAATCCCAATTATAGCAATCTGATACTCATGTCTCAATGTTTTTTCGCAGAATGTGATGAAAACATTTGAAAAGGTTCGCTTATTGAAATAAATCTACTCCAGTTAGTACTTCGATTTCCAGGTAAAGTGAAAAGGCTCATTATCTGCCATATTGGCAGTGAGGATGGATTTGTTGTTGACGGTCTGTGGTGTTTTGAGTCTAAGAAAACTGGAGATTACCACGAGGAAATGAATGGCGAATCGTTTGAACAGTGGTTTTCAAAAATTTTACCGAACTTAGAGGAAAACGCAGTAATTGTGTTGGATAATGCGCCTTATCATTCTCGAAGAATGGAGAAGGTCCCAACAACGGTTTCAAGGAAAGTTGATGTTCAAAATTGGCTCCGCTCGAAAAATATCAACTTTGAAGAAGCAATGCTGAAAGTACAATTATTAAGAATTGTCAAGGATCACAAGGCGGAATATCAAAAATACGCCATCGACGAAATGGCAGCAAGTCAAAATAAAACTGTGCTCCGTTTACCTCCATACCATTGCGAGCTCAATCCCATTGAGCTCATATGGGCAGAGGTTAAAAATTGTATAGCTAAGCACAATACAACTTTTAAATTTTGTGACCTCAAAGGACTTTTCAAAGAAGCACTAGAATTAATAACAGCGCAAAAATGGGAAAACTGTATTAAGCACGTGAAAGACAAAGTTGAAAAGAGAATGTGGGAACTGGACAATATTTTAGAGGAATAAGTCGAGCCATTCATTATTGACGTTGGTGCTTCAGGCAGTAGCGATGATGAAAGCTCATCAAGCTCATCTTTCCAATAAAAGATGTCGTTCATCAAATTCGGTAAGTTATAAGTAATTATAAAGCTACTGTATTTTTTAATTAATTATTGACATTTTTGAACCCATTTTGGCAAAACCTATTCAAGAATCTACTTTCTGACAATGTTCAACCATCCACATTTTTTTACGTTTTGAACGTTTTAATTTGGTTACATATTTACCTAAAAATCAAAAAATACACTAATCAATATTCTAAAAGCAATTTTAAGAGATATACGATTATTTTTAATTTAGGCTAATTTAAACGCCATTTTGAGATTATATTCGACTGTATTTCACCAAACATCAGGCGGCATCCGAAGCTGGAAATCGAAGCGAAAATTTTGAAACCCTTATGTATATTTACATCATTATATATTTCTTACCCCACCCCCACATGATCCTATATCCATCACCAATCGTATACACATCGAATTGTGCTAATTTACTACAAAGTTACGCAAAGCAGCATCTACTATCTAAAATATGTACTGCGTGACTCTTAATACGTCCCTGCCGAATGTTACAGCGTTCGATGATCACGTGGTCTTGTTTATGTCCGGTCTATCTCTTATCTGAATATACTGTAGTAAGGTAATTTTTCACCAAGACAGCAATATGGAAATTCGTCTTATTCCCTGAAAGTGGTGATTCTAGAGGTTATTTGTGTTAAATTAATTCCCATCAACTGGGGGGTCGGGAGTAAGCCGTTTCCGAGATATCGGCATTTCAAGATTTTTTAAGAATTTTCTGCTTACTGATCATTACAATTTTTTTTCAAAAATCTACTCATTTCTTGGAACTGAATTGATGGTTTTCTGAAAGCTGTGAAACTAGCAAATAATTGAGATAAAAACGCTACACCAAAAGTTTGAAACTCTTATGCCAGCCATACACGTAACGATATACTTGCGCAAACTTAGATTTGCACAAGTATACTGTAGCGTATGTTGGAAGATTTTTGCGCAAGTGTCTAGACTTGTACAAGTCGCAAGAACGTTGTAATTTTCGATTCCGAGACTTGTGCAAGTTTACGTTTGCGCAAGTTTACTTGAACGTGTGTGGCAACGAGCGTTCGCAGTTAGCGATGTCCTGCTGCTTGGTTGTACACACGCGTTGCGTTGTTCAGCACCAAAATGAGTGAGACACGTGGAGTTCGAGAAAATTTGGAAGAATTTATAAATGTGTACAGAAATGAACCATGCCTCTGGCAAATAAAGAACAAACACTACCATAATAGAGATAAAAAACCGCCGCTTATAACAAATTAGTAGAACTGTATAAGAAAATAGAACCAAGTGCCAACCGAGATATGATAGTTAAAAAAATTAATGGCTTACGCACCAACTACCGTACAGAAAAGAAGATAGAAGATTCTAGCCGATCTGGAACAGGCACCAATGATGTTTATGTGCCAACATTATGGTATTATGATTTACTGAAATTTCTCGATGACGACCAAGGAACGCCAAGATCTTCTCGTTCCAACATCGACGAAGATGATAGTTCTGAAGTAAGTACACGAAATTAGCTATTATATTTTTATTTAATGTAAATATTTACAAGGTAACATTTCTCTGTGTGTTTAAGGAATAAAGTTATCTTGCCAAGGTACAGTCCCCTCGTTATTAAAGTAATGTACATACTGTTCTCTAACATTTTTGGCAGCAGTTGCATTATTTCCAGAGTTTCGTCGATAGAATGGCTCCATGTTTGAATCATGTGATGTTAAACCTGATGTAATAGTTCCATCTTCTAGGTTTTCGTGATCGAAACATTCTGCAGAACTATAACAATTCGATGACATTAAAAAGTTATGCAAAGCACAGCTTGCCATTACCACCTTATCAATGTTCTTGAGTTCTAGATTAATTTGAGTTTTATATAACCGAAATCTAGAAGCCAAGATTCCAAATGCATTCTCTACAATGCGCCGTGCTCGAGATACTCGGTAATTGTATATCTTTCTTTCGCGAGAATTTAAATCTGCCTGTCGGTATGGTTTTATCATATATTTTCTCAAAGCAAAAGCATCTCCGGCTACAAATACATAAGGAAGTATTTTGGAACTTCCTTTTATAGGTTCATCTGACGGGATACTTAATTGGTGTTTTTGAAGCTTGTCATAAAATGTAGTAGTCTGAAGCACACCTCCGTCTGATATCCTGCCGTTAACACCAAAGCTGCACATTATAAATTGGTACCTAGCATCCACTATTGCAAGAAGTACCATACTGTGTCGACCTTTCTAATTATAAAAATAGG